GAAATCGCTGTGAATGTTTTCTGTCTTAAATCACACCTTGACCAAGAGTGTTTAAACGTAACCATACAAACTTAAAAAATGCTGTAGTCACTAAAAGTGTATTGCAAGATCCATATCACTTTTTTCCACCTCTCTATAGACCAGTGACTGTGGTTTTTGCACCATTGACCTCTCAAACAGGCATCTTATTCTATTCAATATTCTGACCCTATTTACCAAAGTCTCTCCCATAGATCTAAACTAAATGTCCCTTTACTCACTGTTCCTATTAAAACACTCACCAGTCTTTGTGACTGAAGCTCCTGTGCCCCAACAATAAACCCTCTTTTAAAGTCACTTCCTCTTGCCATCTTGATATAAAATCAGAACCAACCAGGCCTGCTCAGCATGTTTATACTTGCCACAGAGCATGATGGGATGTTAACTGCTTAATTGTACAATGCAGTGCACCTGTGTGGGAGTATCTACATTCGTTATGTTTCTCCACTCATTTATTCAGATTTTCCCTTTAACTTGTTGCCTGTCTGCATCTCCTAAACGTTAATGGAAGAATGTAATCTGTTCACCATCATGTTTCCTGCAAAACTTATTTGCTGCTCCAAATTAGTTGCATATAAACATAATTTCTCGGAGACAGGCCTGTATTGTGTATTGTAAGCATGTTTCTCTGCAATAGCCAGTTTGCATTTCTACATATTTAAACAGAATTTTTCAGTGGGTCTGGGTAAACTGCAGGAGTGGAAGGAAGTGAGGTGATGGCCCAAGAGGCCTTACTTTTCCACCACCTCCACTCCTCCTTCTTTCCCACTACACTTTACATTCCCAAACATCTCACTCACCACCCAAGCCTGCGTCAGTGTGCCCTGACTCACAATGCTGCTGCGCATGCACACACATTCACACAGTGGCCACACACAGAAAGACACAGAGACATGCACTCTATATAGCATCAGAATTACACAAATTTTTTACGGGACTTGGCAACAATGCCATTTTTCCTGATCTGGTGACCTGTAGCTACATTTCCTCTTTCCACCACAGCACCAAACATCCAGGAAATGTGTTGCAACAACATGGAGCCAAGACCTCTGGGGTGTTTTCATACGGTTATAAATGGGTTGTCAGAGAGTCTGTACATCTCTTGCTGCTCAGGGTAAAGTCAACAGCTCTGGGGGTCATTCATTAATCTGCAAGGCCTGGGCTGACATGTTCAAGGGGGCCAGACTGCCTGTAACCTTTCACAATCAGTGATACCACAGGGACTGCGAGAGAGAATGAGAGAGATAGAATAAAAGAAAACTGTCTGTTCTGCTGCTTCTTAGCCTCCTGATCTTTTTTTTTTTTGGTCTCTTTCCATCTCCCCCTCTTTTTATCAACATTTGTTTTGCTGTCGGTCTCTGTTAGCCAGTACTGTCATCCATCACAGACTCAATTTCTGGCCTGTCCTATGCTATTTTTGCCTATTTGATCCAGCAACAGCAAAGAAAGCAAAAACAAAACAAAAAAAAAAACAAAAACAGAAGAGATGGAAAGTTGGAAAAGCGAGTGGGCATCAGCAGACAAGAAAGAAAACAAAGTATCCCTCTCTCAAACACAGTTGATTCTGTGCTTTTTTTTTTTTTTTTTTTACAGACAAACATATCAGATATGGATAGTTGCTGTAGCTCAGCATTTTCTTCTTACCTTGCATCACAAGGCAGAGTAATAACTTTAAAAGGTCATGGTTCATGGTTACCTACGATACCAATCTGAAGCTTCATGATCTTCCTGAGGGAATGAAGTGTTCCAGTTGCATAGATACTATAGATGTTAAAATTTCATTCCATTTATTTCTGACCATTTTTAAGACCCCCTTTGATGGAAATGAAGTTTTTACCCTGTTAATGTGTCTTTATGGTGGTTTTTTTTTTAAATATAATACAAGACATATCATGAGCAAAAAAAGCAGTCAACTATATGACTGAGTATTTCCATCTTGGAACTGCACTGCAGCAATGACTGTGAGAGTGAGAGTTTGCATTAGCACAACCACTAATACTGTGTCAGCCACTTCCAGCCACAAGCTATTCGCCAAATGCTTGTCGCCAAATTTTGGTGCACGACAAACTCCTCGTGTTAAATAAAATATTAATCATAGCCGAGTATTTTCACATAGTTTAAAACATGTCTGGAGGGGAACCTCTAGTACATATTTGCATAAAAGCTGAGACTGAAAGTTAGTTCTTGACTTTAGAAACACTTGTCACAACACTCTCATCACAATGCAATTTCCATGACAACTGCGCTATTCCATCAGCCGAAGATTGTTTGATCCAATGAAAAGCTTTGTCTTCCTTTGTTCTTTATGATGCCATGTTTATGTATTATGTCGTATGCAGTGGTGGAAAAAGTATTCAGATCGATTATCCTTTATCTAAGTAAGAATAGCAATCCCATAATTTAAAAATGCTCCATTACGAATAAAAGTCCTGCAGTGAAGGGAAGGAAGTATTATTATCAGAATGTACTTCAGGTGTGGAAAGTAAAAGTACTCTTAATCCAGAAAAATGACCCCTGACAGTATTACCGGTACCTCAAAATTGTACTTTTGTAATAGTAATTAATACTTAATCAAATTCCACCACTGGTTGTATCTACTACAAAATACCAACAGCAAATTAACAGAGAACCCACCATTCACCTACAACTGACCTCCTTAATTCAAGCCTCATTTCTCTCTTCAGCATTTTTCCCACATGAAACTTTGCGTCAACCATCCTGCAGCCGCTTTGCTCTGCCTCCTGTCTGGTAAACGCTCTCCCAGCCTCTCTCTCTCGCTCTCTCTCTCTCTCTTGCTTTTTCACTCTCCCAGGCTGAATGTGAAACCATGGTACTTGAAGTCAGTGACCGGCATGTGGGAAAACTGCCATAAAATGCATATAAACAGTCAATGTAAACAGTCAATGAGACACAACAGCGCCTATTCCTACGCAGTACCAATCAGTGGTTGGAATAATGGCTTTTGCGGTATTTGATGGGAATATTTGTTCTGTTTTTTTTTTTTTTGTGTGTGTATGTTTTGTTTTTTTTGTTTTTTTTTTAAACACAAAGCACAGCCAGCAGCAGAGAGGGAGTGAGAGAGAGAGAGTGATGTTGGTGTGTGGGGTGGATTAGCAGGGTTGAAGAGTGGGTGTTAGCGGGTCAGACATAGTCCTCAGCATGACCCACAACTTCCACATCCAGCTGTGGTTTCCCCTCTTGTGTTGCTGTCATCAGGCAGTTGGCTCCTGAAGCCAGATTGCTACACACCGGGACACAGCATGGAATGCAATGACAAGTTTTGTATTTGCAGTAATATCTGACACAGCATTCCTCATGTTCCCACCAACATCCTGCTTTTCTTCCATCATGAACCTGCATGGTGCATAATTGCAGTCTTTCTTTTTTTGGGCCACTGAGTTGTCGGTGGGTACTTATTGTAGCTCGGACGCATCGATGGTAAAGTGGTTCAAGGTGTGACAACTTTCCTGTTGCTTTTAGATCTTTCTGCAATGACTAAAACATCACTTTTGCAGACTGATCCACATGATGATGACCTAATGACCTGGCCTGTACTTTGTAAGTGGACATATAACTCCCTGGGCTACAGACGAAACCCCTTCATAACTATAAAATATATCTTTTTCCCCAGAATAACACCAGAAGAAGTGCATAAAAGGAGAAGCATCCATCCATTCCACTTGGCTCCAACAAGAGAGGTCTGACCTATCTCACACTGTGAAGGAGCAAAGGGACTTTTATTTGAACATGAAAAACAGTGACTCATCAAGTCACAGATATAAAAGGGGCTGCAACGTCTTGGCCTCTCGGTGGAGGAGATGAATTCCGCAGGCAAGACAAATAAACAAAATGTGTCCTTTCATGAACCTGTGATCAACTTTGGATATGACTGAATCTGAATTTTGCTTTCCGTGCTCTGAGAATGGACTGAAACGATAGGTTCGGTTGAGAATCCTTCATTATTTTCAACCCTGAATACATGCACCTGTAATATATCTAAAAAAATCTAAATGAAGATATTGAGTTGACAGTGGGAACCAGTGCCAACCAGTGCCAACAAGATCAAAACATTAGGTCTGAAAGGCTATTTGAGAATGACACAACTCCACAGAGCACAAAAGGCCCTTCGGGCAATAAACTGTAACATGTGTTGGGACAAGTTAACTGCAGCAATTTTATGAGACATTGGAGCAGATAATTTAAGTGTTTCTCTGACACAGTCAACTGCTCTCCGTCCATAGAGGACAAAAACAAAACTCTTTGATTTACACTTGGTGAGAATCAACCAAAATCAATCAAACTCACCCTGACTGCTAACTCCACCAAGGAGGTTATGTTTTCACCTGCGTCTGTCTGTCTGTCTGTCTGTCTGTTTGTTTGTTTGTTTGTTTGTTTGTTTGTTTGCTTATTTGTTAGTTTTTCAGTAGGATTATGCAAAAAGTACTGAACCGATTGGCAACAAACTTGGTGGAAGGATGGGGAATGGGGCAGATCTGGATTATTCATTATGAATTTGAATTTATTTCTCTGAAGTGGCAGAGCTTGGCAGAGCTCTGTGTTTGTTTGTTTTTTTTGTTGTTTGTTTGTTTGTTTGTTTCTCAGAAAAAAAGTACTGAACTAATTTAGCTACACTAAACCTGGTGGAGGAAAGGGACATGGGTCAGACAAGAAGCCATTAAATTAAAGGGGTGGATCCAGGAATTTTTCAATCATTGCCAGATAGGACATTTTCTGAATTTCTCAGGAAATGTATAAGGCTAATATATTGATCATGGTGTAAAAACCCAGACATATTTATGGTGTTGAGACCTATGCCTGATTTTCTGGAATAATGAAACACGTGACTCTGAATTCTCTCCTCGGTAAAAACCTAAATGTAGGGGTAGCCCGGGGAAAGATCCCGCCCCACCATCGGGAGGGGTGAGAGCGGGTACAGTTGGAGAGGAGAGAGGAGACGACACGGGAGGAAAAGTTGAGTGGATATTTGAGGAAGAAACTTCTACACGGGCGAGGACAACATATGGAGATTTGACTACACATCGAATATATTCCATTGTCGGCGATCACATATTTTCTCACCAGGAAATCTTTACGCAGGAGAGAAAAAAAAAAAACTAAACAGAACTTAAAAACTCCATCACACCGCCGGGATGTTTAGATGAAGGCAATCACTCCAAAAGGTAAGGCAAGTCACTGTAGCTGTGGTGACGAGCAATAGACACACTGTGCAGAGACAGACACTTGATTTTTACTGCAGGTCTTACAACGTCTTTCCAAACGAATATTCCATTTAACTGTGTTCATCTTTTCCAAAACAGAGAGTTGCTTAGACCTCGCATCTCGTTTCAACTTATATTGTGTATAAATGTTGCTAAACACTATTTTATTTTGATAGAGGGGAATTTATATTCTCTACAGTGTGAATGGGTTAGTCATACACATATTTGGCCTTATTACTGAGAAAAACCTGTTTGCCTAACCTCAGAATTACATTACAATGATTAATTTGGAACCTTTTCGGTCATAGACCTTTGTCTGAGTCACAGTGCTTTCACTAGAAATTCATTTAAATAAGAAATTATGACATGAAGGCTAAGACATAGGAGTTTTGAACAGTAAGAAAACAAGAAGTTGTAATGTCCAAATTTACTAGTTATTGTTTTTTTCCTTTTATTAGTCTGTTTTATATTGTTTTATATGTATATATTCTAAATGCTGCTGCTATCTTGGCCACTTGGGTACATGAGAGTTTTCATCTCAGTGATGCACAGGGTCAAATATATAACTTTTAGACAGTATTTATTTTCAGTTGGTTTCATAACAATTGTTTTAATTTACTAGAACCCAAAAAAAAGTTGTTAAAGGCAACTGGACTTGATTGCAGATACTTGAAGTTGTTTCACCTCGTCCATGAGGCTTCTTCAGTCCTGAACTAAACAAGTCCAGTTGCCTTTTCATGGATAATCATGACTTAGATGTATCGAGTGAAGGATTCTTTCTTACAAAACTTATCCACAATGCTTGTGTGACATCTGAGTGTTTTTGATTGGCAGGTCCTTGAAGAGGCTGTAAAATGACCACCCTAACCCTGCCAGGCTGAGCAGCCTGACCTCCCTCTGCTGTGACCAGTGCTGCGGCTCCCTCTGCTGTGTAATTGAGGAAGGGCACAAATGGCAGGCAGCATGGGGAACATATTCGAGGATGGGATGAACCGTGTCATCGTCAACCACTACAACCACTCGGGGAAGTGGGATCGGCCTCGCAGCGGTGGGGCCTGTAAGATGGCTGTGCTGCTCTTCATCTGCGTGCTGATCGTCCTGGAGAACGTTACAGTCCTGCTCGCTCTGTGGAGGAACAAGCGCTTCCACAGTCGCATGTATTTCCTCATTGGAAACCTGGCGCTGTCAGACCTGCTGGCTGGTGTGGCCTATGTAGTAAACATCTTTACATCTGGACGTAACACCTTCTTCCTGACACCGGTGCAGTGGCTCGCCAGAGAAGGGAGCATGTTTGTGGCCCTCAGTGCCTCCACGTTCAGCCTTCTGGCCATTGGTATTGAGAGGCATATGACTATGGTGCGTCTGCGTCCATGTGAGACAGCAGGTCGAGGGAGACTCCTAGGACTGCTGGCAGCCTGCTGGTTTGTGTCAGTTCTGCTCAGCGCCCTGCCCAGCCTGGGGTGGAACTGCCTGAACAATCTGACCTCCTGCTCTACAGTGCTGCCGCTCTATGCTAAGAGTTATGTGGCCTTCTGCATCAGTGTGTTCAGTGCCCTGTTGGTGGCCATCATCATCCTCTACATCAGGATCTACCGCCTGGTGACCTCTAGTGGCCGCAGGGTGAGCAGCCGGCCTTCAGAGCGCTCACTGGCCCTGCTGCGGACAGTGGTTATTGTTCTTGGAGTGTTTGTCATGTGCTGGGCCCCCCTCTTCCTCTTGCTGCTGCTGGATGTAGGCTGTAGCCCAGATAAGTGCCCTGTGCTCTACCAGGTGGACTGGTTCATCGCCCTGGCTGTGCTCAACTCTGCCCTCAATCCTCTGATTTACACTCTCTCCAGCAGGGAGATGAGGGCTGCCTTCTTCCGGCTGCTGTGCTGCTGTCAGACCAGCATGGAGCCCACTGGGACTCCTATGGCAGGCAACCCCCACCTGGGCACAATCATCCCCACAGCGGAGAACAGCAAGACCAGTTTGGGTGGAGGAGGGGGCAGTGGGGCTGGCAAGTCCACGCTGAATAAAGGGAAGGTTCCCACACCAATGAACTCTGAAAACAAGCATGGAGATCCCTCTGCCACTGCTGTGCCCCACCCTTCTGGGCCTGCAGACCTGCTGTCAGCTGTGCTGGTGAAGGCGGGGGCTCTGCCACCCCTCAGCAAGTTCTGAGTGGAAGCACCTTAATGAGGCCTTTCAGTCACAAAGAAGAAGAACTGACATAGTCCTGCTATCAGCCACTTTTTGTTTATGCACTATGGCCAGTCTTACATGGATATGAATAGCAAGAATATTCAGTTTGAACCAAATAAATCCAGATTGTAGATGAGAGTACAATCAACTTTATCACTTAAAACCACTATTTACAACAACTGAACAATATTCACAACACTAGAAGGACTGACTTATTGAATTTTGTTTTACACAATGATGAAATTTAACATTTGTAATCTATGAAAAATAATAGGCCATCGTCTTGGATATGGACTAAACCAAGCTCCAAAATAAGTCTTGGCTTAATCTGTCTGTGAAATTAGTCCTAGTAATATTTCAAATAATAACAGAGTATAATTAACTTTATTAGTGTTGGGTCTGTTATTATGTTTATGTCATTTTGTCTTTATATGCCTAAAAAAATCAAATTGGGGCACTTTTTTGCATGGTCTTCATGCAAGTACTCTTAAAACACAGTTTGACTTGGTAAATATTTATTTTCTATGAAAACATTTGGCATCTTTACACTACAAACTATGTTTTTGCTTTATGTGCATAAAAAAAGATCATGGTACTAGGACTTTATCATTAATTTTGTTATGATTTGAGCTGCATTATAAGAAAGCTTATTTGTCCGACTAGCGGCCTCATGAGGCTGTGATGCTCATTACACATCAGCAAACAGAACCAATGAACGGACGGATGACAATGCTATTATTAGATTCCTACCACCAGTGGGCAAGAACATCCACTTAGTCCTGATGGTGTTGCTACAGGAAAAGCGATGTTTTTACATAAATCACTAGGGTTCAAGTTTTATTACAATGGGCATTTTTGCTAATTTCAGGCCCAGCTCTACATTACCACACTTGGTTTGTCTTTCATCACTCTAAGCTCTTTTGTGTCAGCATCAGCTGCACTGCGAGCTGAATTAGCGTGGCTGATAACTACACTCATGGACATTTTTGCTTCTCATCAGCACATCTAGAAACCACTCGCGTCAACTAACCACTAATGAATAGGAGTGTTGGATGTGAATAATTTAAGGTAGACTGTAAATGACAATTCTGCCTGGGGTGATGTAGTGCCTGATACTATTATATAGCAAATAAAAACCTATTCCCTTTTATGAGATTTACATGTGTCATGTTGTTATATTAAATCAGTGGCTCGCCTCCTTTCAGCACCCCTCCTCTCATCCAAAAGTAGTCTCTGTTGATGTCACGGAACATATAAGAAACCCAGTGATCATGTGACTGGGAGATTTTTGCTCATATCAACCTGTTGTAGTCAAGGTTCACATGAAAGCTGAAGCCATACATATATTAAATGTAGAAATGCTCTGATTTGTCAGTTAAGCATTTGCTATTCAGACAGGAGAAGAGAAATGTCATCTGACTTAACCCGTTGCACTCATTTAATGTCCTAAAGGGAAGCTGATTGATGCTCTCTTATTCCCATTCACAGACAGACCCGGGTCAGACGGTGATGAATAATGCATTGAAATTCTTGATATTTATTTAAACGCTGGGGTTTTCAGTCGGGTGAGGTCAGGTAGGTATTAGTCATGAATCTCGCTTTGAAGAGCTTCCTCTTATTGTGACCAACATTGTTTGAATTCCCTGGAACTCTACAAACTAATTACATGACCAAACAGTTTGGCTGAGGTTTTGTTACATTCTGTTTAAATTGTCTTTGATTTAAACAGTGTGTGTATGAGGATTTTTACATCACACACATTAACTTGTGAAAAGGGTTTGGTTAATTAATTCTGAAAGCTGAGCTGAGAGCAGATTGATTCGGAGAGCAAACTGAAGTAGATATAAGTTTTTTTATCTAGATGCTGATAACTGAAGACATTCAATTCACGTGTTTTCGTACCAAAAACCTGCTGCAGTGAACGTTACTTTAAACTGAACCGATAGATTGGGCTGATAAAGTTTGCTCTTCATACCACATTGCACAGCAAAGACCAGACAGGAGCTGACAGACTGGCATTTCATACTCACCTCAGCTAAAGGATGTGTCTCTGCTCCGCACCTCCATTTCCTGATGAAAAAAGACAGCAAGAACGTAATACCAGCCAAGCAATTCCAGCTTAAAGGTCACTGACTGCTTTCTGTCAGAAATGTTTGAACGCTCGCTTTCCTGAATTAGCCGGGGATGATCGTGACCTCGCGCCATGTGGAACATTAGAAAATGCCAGAACGTTGAGTTGTGTGGTTATTTGTAGTCACTGAATCCTCTGCTTCCTGCTCACTTTTCCTCTCCCTCCTCACCACTATCAATATCCCGATTCAAAGCCTCATTAGATTTAGTTTGATTAAAGGTTTTTTGTTCTGTCAAAATTTGATTGTAATAAAGTAGAGTTGCAATGAAAACACAGAGGTATTGTTGCAGGTTCAAGCTTTCATTTTGAGAAGGTAAGAGGTGTCAGGAACAGCTGATAAAAAGCAGGTGTGACAGCTGATTGCTCATTTGCATCAATTAGGAAATTAGGGTTCATTTCTTGGAAATAAATTATTTTCCTGGATCTCCTGAAAAAGATCATAAGAAGAGATGGACTTTAGTCCTAAAATATGGATTCATCTATTTACTTGAAACATTGTAGAGCGAATCCTAAAATCCTCAAATTAAAAAGAATCTAACCAAAGAGGTGAAGACTTTGAAAATTGTTGGAGATCTGTGAACATTATTAAAAAAGCATGAATAATTGACCAAAGTTAATATTGTGACATCCTGTTTCTTCAAGAAGCATTTTTCATCAGCATGATGTTTACATGATGTTTAGAGCTCTGGGTGATGGATATGTGTTGATGTTCTCACAGTCTTAGTCACTGCACAGTGTTTATTAGCTGTTGCCTCTTACTGTTACTGATGATGGTTTATAGCAAAACTGGCAGCTTGAAACAGCAACAATGTCTCCGTCCTTTTTTGCAGTAACTCTAACTCCACTCTAAATTCAGTTTCACAGCCAAAAACAAACAACAAATTGTTTTAAATTACAGTTATTAACAGGGGAAAATAATTAAGTCACACAATGAAGATAAGGCTGAAAGACTCACTCCTACATTTCACCATCTTTGCCTTCCATCTGTCTAGTTGAAGAAAAAAAAAAAAACCCAGCTGAGACATGTTCAGTAAAATTGATAAATTAATTTTCATTCAAATCTTCTTTGTGTCCTCAAATTCCAGCGATGACAAATTCTATCTCTCCAAACACCTGAAATAAACACCATTTAATGGCTGCATGTGCTATCTGGGTCAAACACCTTAATAAATCATGTTAACTAAATAGCCGTCACCAGTCTTCTTTGAGGATTTAGACATGGTGGATTTGTGTCATTCTCTATGCACAATGCCTATTTGCATATGACTAATGTGAACACGACAGAGGACAAGAGAATCACACCACCCCCTGTCATTGTGATCCTGGCTTTAGACTGCAGCGTGGTGAGGAAATATCCATGCGTGTGTGTGTGTGTGTGTGTGTGTGTGTGTGTGTGTGTGTGTGTGTGTGGGTGCATTTGCATGTGTCACGGTTTTTGTGCAGTACAGACGTGTATGTGCTGTGTGTGTGTATGTGTGTGTTTGAGAGAAAGAACAAAGACTCCATCTGGTCCGAGCCGCTCACTGTGCTAGTATGAAACACTTCTGTCATTCTCAAGTCCCTTTTTGAAGCAGCTCGGAGGTGGAGTGGGGCCAGGAGGAGAGCGGCGAGGGGTCCCATTTGAGGTGGCCGCTCACGCAGGGAGCCCCCCCAGCTGAAGCCAGCCTCTCCTCTACGGCTCAGTTGTACCACTCTCACCAGAGACGACACGCGCATTCATCTGATGTGTGATGACTCCCCTCCACTGCCTACACCTCCACAGCTCTCCGATTCAATACAGTGCAATTACATGTGGAACAAAGAGAGTGAAGACTCAGGCAGACTTTGGTGATAAGCTCCCCGGGATCAGAGGGCTTTAACCAGGGAGCAGCTGGGAAGAAGCTGGGAGAGCTGAGGCAAAGGTCACTTGGTAGGAGGATATCTGAAGGAGCTGGCTGGGATTTGGATTGGTGAATACTTTTCCCAGCATCCCTTTCTACACCCCATTGCCATTAATTTTCCCGTCTGGTGGATATCAAACAGACTCCATTTGAGATAGCGCAGTAATACTGGAGAGAAAATAGAATATTTTGATCTGGCAAATATGTCATTTTTATCCCCATTCTCTTTCTCCTGAGGAGACAACAAAAACATCCTTCCTGGGATATCTTATCATATGAGAGTCACAAGCCTAAATGTGTGCTTTATACTGCAACCAACATTTATTTTCATGATTGATTTATATCTGTATTCTTTTTTGTTATTTGATTTCTCTCTAAAATGTCAGAAAATATTGAAAAATGCTCACTCCAATTTTCCAGAACCCAAGGTAATGTCTCTAAATTGTTTTTTGTTTTTTTGTTTTTTTGTCTAGCTCACATCCCATCACAAAAACGTTCAGTTTACAATGGTATGAACAGAAAAAGCAGTAAATTGTCACATTTGAGAAGCTAGAACCTGCAACTGTGTCATTTTTGCTCAATGAATGACTTCAATGATTGATCTATTGTCCAAAATTGTCACTTAATTTTCTCTCTCAATTGAGCAACTGATTCATTGACTAATCGTTTCAGTAACTAGTCTGTATAACTGCTTGAAAATGATCCTGGATCTCTACATTTAGATCAAAATCAGATTTAAGTTTGCTTTTCTCTTGAGAACAGGAAAAGCATTTGTGCAATCGACCATCACGGCAGTGCTTGACTATGGAGATGTTGTCCTCTCACGCTGCTCATTCCACTTTAAAACAACTTGATGCATCTTTTTTTAGGCGCCCTGTGTTAAATTACAGGATGTAAATATTGCACTCATCACTGTGAACTATATGAAAATGGAACCTGATCCTCACTAATAACAAAAAGGGAAATACACACTTAATTTGTTGCGTATAACTGTCTCCTACTAAAGCTCCATCTGAGCAGATGCCAGGACTGGCTGACTCTTCGTGCCTCAGGATACTGAACTTGGGGAGACTGCTTTTCAGTACTTTGCACCATATAAATGAAATGAACTTCAAAGGACATCAAAACCTGAGAGCGCCATCTGATTGGAACATTTTTAGAGATGTCTGTGAATGTTTCTGATGCTGCCTGTATGTACTTATGTGCAACTGGCTGTGTTTTGTTGTGTGTCTTATTTTTATTCTATTTTTTCTGCTGTACTGAAGTTTCTATAGCAAAAGAGCTCTTGATCTCAGTGAGATCAAATTTATATTTATATATTATCAGTCTCTGAAACCAGATCTTTGAGTGCCATCTAATCATAACAGATAGGTGGCAGAAGTGGATAAGTAATCTGTTCTAAATTCTACCCTACAATTACCCCACTCTCCCCAAAATCCCCCAAAACAGCAGCTGCTTCGTTTTCAAACCTTCTCCGATTGCAGTTGCCCGGCAGAGCCTGACGGCATGCACACACCTGCTCACACTGACCTCCAATCTATCTCTTCCACGCCTGCCTGCTACAACTGTAGGGATTAACATGTCTGGGATAGGGGATAAGAGCGAGGGAGGACGCCAGCCTCTTAGTCTGACATGTGTGTCTCGTCCCTCACTTGTGGCGTTGAGCGTGTGTGCACAGCTGGCTGATTCCCTTCCTCTGTGCATGCATGCAGCCTGGAGGTTTCTGTGCGTGTACGTGTTCTGTGAAAGAGCAACCGGAGGCGGAGAAACCCCTCATAGATTTCAAGTGTGTATCTCACATAAGAGTTACGGTCGCTGAAAACTTAGTTTCAAAACTTAAGTATATCTCAGTAAGATTAACTCATGACTAAATAAGCAACAACAAAAGTTAAAATTCAGAAGAAACACACATTTACAGAGTTAAACAGTTCAGCATGACCTCAGTGTGCATCTGAAAGCACAACAGCTAATCTGAGTCATCAGGACTGTGTAGGTGTGGTGTGAATTCATGTGATTGACAGTTGTGTTAAAATCATCATTCTGATTCAAATGTTGCTAAACTCTGACTGGTGCACAGAAATATGTGAATATGCCTTTTTCAAAAAGAGTCCTGCCCACCAAACCCAGTGAGAAAAGTACAGAAATCAGACCGAAATTTCTCATGAAAACAACACAACTGTTCCATCACTGGAAAAAAATATATGTTACTGCAGGACCCCATTGTCTAAGGTAAGAAGCTGATTGAGAAAATAGGTTTTTCAGAGCCTTTAAAGGCCAACATGTGCATTTAAACACTGTATAATGCAGAATGTTTGGAGGAAAATATTAAAGGGTCCACTCCAAGTGGTTCTGCTACAAGACAATGCTTAATGGATGTTTTTCACAGGAGACATTTTGACTTGCCGTAGTAGGGGAAGATGGCACAGGTGCAACTAATAACATTAAGGATGGCTCTGCTCTATATAAGTGTCCCAGTGAGCCAACACACTGCCCTGACTCAGGAAACCTGAGAAGCTAAATGGAACTCAGCCATCATCATTTCATTATTTACATCTAGGATTTTTACATTTATTAACGCAATTTTTCTTCTGCAAATATTGCGTCTATCAGTTCTACAGCTTCACATGCATGTATTTGTATCATGGCTCTGTCTGGCTATGCACGTGTGTGTGTGCATGTTATGTGGTTTCCTAACATGTTCTTTGGCTCCGTGGTGATCACAGGTGTTCATTCCTCTGAGCCTGTCTGATGGATTAACAGCTGCCGTCACCACATTATCGTCGACACCCCCCTGATCTGACATTACACACATTGTGATTCTGATATGACAGCTGCATACACACACACACACACACACACATCGTTGTACACCTGTCTTTGTGGGGACCCATCATTGATAAAATGTATTCTCTAGCCCCTTACTTTAACCTTAACCATCATAACTGAAAGCCTGAGCCCAACCCTAACCCTACCCCTAACCTATACCTAATTCTAACCCTTACCCTAAAACCAAGTCGTAACCCTCAAACTGCCATTTTAAACTTGTGGGGTCCAGCATTTTGGTCCCCACAAAGCTGTTGGACCCCACAAGTATAGTAAACCAAGCCCAATCATATACACACAATTGAGCACATGGGAAGACACAATTTAAACACACCAAAATCATTGTATAATGCTGAGAGGACGGTGCCATTTGTTTCAACCTACGTAAATGTGATCATAAAAATATAGCTTTATATCAGGCATCCTTTAGCGTTATAGAAATTAGCTAATAGACATACTACAAACTCCCATAAGCTGAGACACAACGTAAGAGCCAGACAAGAGCCAGAGAAATGTGAGCGTGATATTTGTTTGATTTTTACATGCTGCATTGCCACTGTCGTTATTATTCATATCCCTCCCCAGGGAACTTTGTTTGAAAAATGGGACTATATCACCCCCCCTCTTCCATGTCATCATCTCTCTCTCTTACACTCACAAACACCCACATGCACACACATACACACACTTGTTTGGAGCCTTGTTGGGGAAGTACAGCCAGGCAACGTTTCCCCCTCTTCCCTCCTCCCTCCTCTCATATCCCTCATCTCCCTCCATCCCTTTTTTTCTCTTCCTTCACTTTTTTTTTTCTCTTCCTTCGCTCTTTCTCCCCAACAGAGAGTGATCCAGCTCGTCTCCTCTCTCCGTCACGCGGGTAATCAGCCTCTGCTTTTTCATTTGGCTCAGTAATGAAAGCAATCCCAGTGCTTTTCACTGCAGCGCAGCCCAAATAATGAGGGCTGCCTCACCCCTCCTCAGCCACACCTCACCCCCAGTCCTCACCCTCTCCCTCCCAACCCTGCTGTTAATGGATGGGGGAGAGCAAATGTGTGTGTGTGTTTGAGTATGTGAAGCACGCAATCATGCCAAGTCCTTTTTGCCTCTTTTTCTTCCTTCTGAGCTGCAAATGAGTCTATTGTACGAAATTTGATAAGCAGTGCTTGTAATCAGAATATTTTGGGGGTGTTTTCCTTTGAATCAAACAAGAGGACAAAAGGATTTTTCATCTACATTAGTGGTTATTGCATGTGACCCCACAATACCGGCCTATTTTGTGTGCACTCAGATTCCGTGGTGATGAGTTGAGAGCAGTTCAACAGTTATTTTCTCCTCTACATTTTTTTTTGATTAATTTTTAGAGGCTGAAAGAGGTAAAAAAAAATCAATCAAATCAAAAATTCATCTCCAAACTGCTTGTGAGGGTCCTGGCCCTCCGGTTAGGAACCACTGATCTACATGAAGATCAACATATTGAACACACTAGATAAACACTTGTTTTGAGTACAGATGAGATACTTCAACACAGCAGGTAAATTATGCACCGTGTCATCTTTTACTATCAACAGAAAATGGCCATAACAATAATAATCAATGCCGCACAGGCAATACAGACGTTTGGATTAAGAAACAATGATTTAAATCATTTTTCCATTTGTCATTTCCAATGCTCAAAAATGTGTCTGGTAGAAATTGGCTCTAATCTAAAATCAGTTATTGCCACGTAACCCTGTAACCAGGCAGCAGACATGAAAACCCATTCCAGATGGCAAGCGTGCAACTCAAATACAAACTCACCAACCAGAATGTAAGGACTTGGCCAGGAGAAAAAATCTGTGATGAAGAATGTAGGAAGTGTGAGAACGTGGCCAACGTTCACAGAGTATAAGAGTTTGTTTGAGAGTGTCCAGCGTCTCTTGATTAGCATCAGATGTAGCCTGCAGCTCAGCCTCCAAACTTATCCTTTCAGGGAAAAGACAGACAATGACGGCAGTGACAGGTTACTTTTTTTTTTTTTTTTTTAAATAAATCCAGCATTGTCTACGAAATGCTATTTCGGCAACCAACAAGAGACACAGTTCAGCAAGGTCCAATACAACAGCAAGTACCGATACAACACAGCTTCTCTGTTGCTTACGATGGACAATCAACAAGTAGCGTGGAGATGTGTCAAGCAAATCCTCAACATACAGCAGCATGACAGCACAGAACAGACCGGGTGAAAATTAACAGGTGTAGTTTTCTGTAGAAAAGCATCTGAAATATCACTGTTGTTGGTAAAAACCTTTTATCTTCAAAAATAGCAGGGTTTTTTTTCTTTTTTTTGAACATTTACAAAAGGGTTTTCTGAACCCTAAGGATGACAAAGGTTTCTCACCCTATACAGTACAATTCAATTTATTGATTCTGGTATAAACATGGAAAATCTGCAAAATATAACTTGCAAGGTTTTCACCTGACAACAGCAATATTGACCAGTGTTGATGAGGTGTTATTTTGTGGAACAGCAGTAATGTAATCTCAATCCTCTGCAGATCTTCTGTAAACTGGAGTTTGGTTCAGAACATACAGACTTCTTCCTGTCTCCAGTTCTACTAACTTACTCTGCACTTCAGTCAGCTGTGAGAGAAATGTAATGGAAAGGGAGAATTTCAGATGCCCTGACGTTATCCCCCTTGGTTCAGCAAGAAGATGAGAGAGAGGAGTTACAGCAAAGGTGGCCTAAAGTTCAGGTATTGCATTTCATGTGAATCGATCCCCCCGGATGTTAGAGACACTTGGCACAGGTACAACAGCAGTGGCGGGTGAGGACATTAGCCCTGTGGTGTGTTGAGTCATCAAAAGTAGTCCAGGAGAACACTGGCCCTCCGCTGGGAAGATCCCGTCAAACATTCAAGTTTTAAGTGTCCGAGCACAATGAAAGTGTCCGGGTCAGTCAGAGTGTCTGCACCAGCACAGGGAACAGCAGGGACAGGTGCTCAGCACCTCGGATCGGGAGTTTGTGTGTGGTGTAGAAGTTTATCACCTCTGGGATGGTGTCAAAGGGAGGGCTGTTCTGTCCCAGCACGTACTTGCCGTCTTTACACTGAGTGAACTTCATGTGCATGAAACCCTGGCAGCTCCTGTGAGGAGGTGAAAAAACAGGAAGAATGTTTTGTGAAAGGAGGAAGAAAAAAGACTAATGACAGTGAAAGTGATCCAATATGAAAGAGAGAAAGAGATGTATAGGGGAGAAAAGGGGGATGACATGAAATGTGGGGCACATTAAACATCATGTAGTCTTCCACACATTTTGTCACATAATGACATAGTGGAAATGACAGCCTGGATTTATGTTCACTTCTTCTTGCTGCACTTTGAGGACATGATCCTAACCAAGATTTAACACCATGTCACAAATTAGGAAGGAAAAGACATTTTGATGGATGAATGGGTGGTGTAATAGTACATGGTGGGAAAGACAAAGCCTGAGTGAGTCAGAAAGAAAAAAGCACTGGACTGTGAAAGTGACAAGAGAACCACACCAGTGCCTCCCCTTTAAAAATCCAGGCAGCCACGACAAGACTTCCCCTTTAAGAGCCAGCCAGTCATGATGTACGACTAATTATAGAATCAGAGGGAAAGACAAGGGCTGAAACCGGTCACCATAATTGTCATTGTTCTAGTAAACCAAATTAAATTTTGAAGAGCCGTGAAACCAAAAACACGCTCTGTGACTACAAACAGCCAAACAACAGGCAGTTCATGATCATCCCACTTGTCTCCAGAGCGACAGACGTGTCATCACATCAACGCTCAAGAGTTGACAGTGTGCTTTCATCCAGTCCTGTTTGTTTTGGGGGAGTTTCTTTGTATCTCACGGTACATTAGAACTTACCAGTGCTGTTTCATAAATATTAATGTTGGTTTAAATGTTGCAGACCTGTCTGTTTCAGTGCTGACTCACTTTGGAGTGTCTCTCCATTTTGTCTTCATTAAACAACATTTGTCATTCCTCCCATTGTTCACATTACCGTGTAATCTTAAGGTGTGGTTCGCTTTTTCCAAGGAAAGATACTGGCACAAGGACAAAAACACCCAGATGTCTCATTGTTTCACAAAATTATCTGATCTGCGTTGGTATTACACAAAGATTCCTTTTCCAAAGGTAATGCTGACTTCATGCCAGTGTTTCCTAAAGCATCCTAAACCAGTCTGAAACTAGTCACAACCACCCTAATAAATAATGGGTAAAACACTTGTTTATTATGACTTGGACCTAATTTTTCAGAGTTCTGGCTACCTTCTCTATCTGTGTTGATAATAGTGGGATAAAAACACAATGAGCTGGTGCTCATCAGGCGATAAACCAGATTATCTAAACCACTGTGCTTGAAGGTAAAACCCAAAGGATTAAAGCGTCCGCTAACCTCGCTAAAAGGCTTTGCTCCATGCTGGCAGGACAATAACGTGTGGTACAAAAAAAGAAGTGCACACTAGAACTTGCACACTCTATTTAACTATATAAGTACTCAGGCTATCATCGATTTTAAGGGATCGAACATAAAATGAATGCTCCCGACGCAAAACATGCGCATCTGCATGTGGACTACAAAAATGTTTACAATCTATGAGACAAAGTAACAGGAGACATTTAAACATGTGGTCAGTTTCATACTCTATAGACAAAGATGCTATGGAAAACGTCACATCAAATATGCTGGTAAGAATCTCACTGCTGTGTATAAACTGTGTATAAGTACAACTGTGAAAAGTAAGGATGACCAATGTAGGTCGAAGTCTTGAAACTGTCATAGGTGCTTATTAATTGTGGTCATGATTTTACCCTTTGCCTTTGTCTTCTCTTTCTTTTACATTATTACACGGTTACATTTAGCTAACCAGGAGCTTTGTTCGAAATCAGAATGATAATCTGCTTGTGATTCTTATCCAGTCTGACTTCCCTTTTGTGTTCCCTGATCTCAGCAATTTACTTGGTAGGATGGAGACAATAAAAGGCTGTATCATTTTGAGCTGATTAAAAATCTGAGCTAACTCCTTTTAGACTGTGCCATGATAGAAGACTGTGCGATGTTGTAGACTCTGAAGGTCTACTTCAGCGAAGGCCAGCTCCTCTTTCTAAACAACCAAAAGAATGCAAGGTTGATAAACATTATTGTCTGCAAACCTCACATGCACCAGCTGGGGAACCAGTGCTAGTGGTGACCTTGTTGCTTGAGCAAATGCATGTCTGTGTGTGTGTGTCTGTGTGTGTGTGTGTGTGTGTGTGTGTGTGTGTGTCAAACCCACTCTACTCATGTAAATGAGTAATGCATGAGCTTGTTTATATGTCAGCACAACACAGTGACACTCTGTGCCTCCCCCTCCCCTCACTCTCTCCCCCTTCTCTCCCTAATTCCCTTCTTGTGTGGCCCACAGAAGGTAATTCATATTCATTAGTGATTATGGGGAGGATGATGTGTGCAGTGAAGTGTGCTCTACCTGCCTGATTACCACTTAGAGGGCCCAATGGGGCCAAGGGGGAAGTCCGCAGAGAGGGGCCAAGGATGGGGTGAGGACAGAGGGTTGATGGGAGAGCAGTGTGAGGCCGGGACGATGGATCGTGGTAGTAATTACAAGGGAGAGATTTGACCAGATAAGCAGTATTGTGCCCTGCAAATGAGTATCGGGAATGGAATCAGTGTGGCAGTGATCTTGAGTGGGGGTGATGGTGGAGGGGAGGGAGGGAGAGAGAGAGAGGAGCAAGAGACAGATGGAGAGGTGTGGGAGACTGCAATATGAGATTGGTAGCTCAGGTGGCTTCACAGACACTTCACACACACTCCTCAGTCACACGGCAGAAAATATGAGAAGTGTGCAATTAAATTGTAGCGCTGAATATCCAAAGTGTTCAGGTCTCTCATCACTTGATGTGGTAGATCATCGTGAGTGTGCGTATGTGTGTGTGTATGTATGTATGTATGTATGTATGTATGTGTGTATGTATGTGTGTGTGTGTGTGTGTGTGTGTGTGTGTGTGTGTGTGTGTGTGTGTGTGTATGTGTGTGTGTCCGAATCCTACCGTAGAGACAGGGAGTAGTCGGAGCGGTTGGTCTGACTGTTCCTCACCAGGTAGCTACACTCTTTACACAGGGTTAGCAGCGACTCTGCCTCAGAACGAGACAGTGATCCGTGGTACCATCTGACACACACACACAAACACACACACATAATAAGTTGTGGTAAAAGTGGTGACAGGAAGTGTGATTCCAACATATTTCTACATCTATTGCTGTTGGATGCCGACATGATATCAATTTGATTCCACAAGATGATTAATATAAAAATACATTTCAAGATTTGCCCTCCACAGTGTAACAGTGATGATACAGAAGCATGAGTATTTCTAAAGTCTAATAGAAAACAATACAACAATGATATAATTCAAAACAAGGCCTCTATTTTCAAGGCAGTAAACTGTTGATTACATCATGGTGGAGTCTGTTATCACATTTGTGCTGGTCACGCATACTATAAATGCCATAGTCTTGAACATTAGACTTGAACACGAGCTCCTACGAGACACAGTGTCTACAGCCATGCTAGCAGCTATGTGAAGCTGCAATTTGGCACAGCAGGGCTTTGAACTGAATACTAACATCAGCATGCTAACATGCTCACAATGACAAAGTAAACATGCTGATGTTTAGCAGATATAATGTGGTGGGAATGTCATTCATTTTCCAGGTATTTGGTCAAAGGATTGGACAACTTATAACTTTGGGTTAAGGGATCATCACCGTTATAACAATTTCATCCAGAGGGGAACGAGGATGTCTGAACCAAATGTGATGGCAATCCATTCTCTAGTTGTTGAGATATTTCCATATAGACCACAGTGGTGGACTGACCGTCAGACCAACATTGCCATTCCTAGAGCCACACCGCTAGTATTTCGCCGAGTAGTAAAAGTATAATTAAAAGACAATCCTGTGACCACCACAGTCAGTGGGTAAGTATATTTTATCTGTCACAAAAATTAGATATTCTTGGACATGACTTAGCCAAGTGTACTGAATGCTACAGGTTGACTGTTTAAAACAGAAGGAAACCACAAAGCCCAGAACAGCCCTTCAGAGATCATCAGGGAGTAATGGAGCATAAAAATCAACTACCATCCTCATGTGAATTTGTGCACATGTATGAGTACAACACTGTACATCGTGTGTGTGTGCGTGCTTGTGCATGCGTGCTTAAGGGGTGTCATGTGCTCGGATTTCATTAGTAAAACAGCCATTTAAATGCTCTGAAACAGCACATAAATCACACCAATGATGTCTGAAATTACAAGACCAAAGTAAATGTGTGTTTTTAATGTTCTGACTTAATTAGTTCTCATTCTAACCTTTTGCAGTTCTGTAAGCTCTGATGAACGCTGCTTAGCTGAAACGCATAAATGTTTCAAATTAATGCGTCCACACCATCAGAGCGGTGCAATAATATAGATTTTGGCTTTATTTGTGGACTGTACACCCCCTGTGTCCCTGAAATATTCAAAATCACTTTTTTAACAATGTATGATAAATGCATGTACATGACATCTGTGCAGAGACATTTATAACCTACAGAGATTAATTGCACAGACTAATTGCATTTACATGCACAAATAATTGTATAACTCAGCTTTGTTTGATGCATATAAACATCATAACTCAGAATAATGCCCTAGACAAGATGCCTGGCTTAATCGTATATTTCACCGATATGTGGACATCTTATTCATTACTCTACTTGGATCTTCAATCTTGCACAGTATCGTGGGTACATTTTGATGTCAGCTAGTGTCAACTGCATGACCTCTCTTATTACTGCTATTTTTCTTCTAAGACAGTGCAATTTCTTTATCCTGTATTATATTCGAGGTAATTAAATGAACGGCAACAGGGGCACTCAATCATTAACTATCAAAGCATGTAAGCCTCTTAATCTGATTAAACCTTAAAGTGTGGCCTCCACTCAGATACATAACAAGTGATATATGTTTATGTAGCTGGGTTTAATAGAGGACTGAATACATACACCTGCTTCTCCAGAGGCAGCGTAGGGTCCACTCTCTCCCCCACCATCGAAAGGCCTTCCTGCGGCATTCGAAACTTCACCCCCCCACCTGCCAGCGGGCTGGACCTGGGCCCCGGAGGACGCAACCGCTCTGTGGGTGACGAGGAGCAGTCCCACTCTGCGCCGTCAAACTGCACTGTTGGCAGATGGGGACAGAAAAAGTGAGTCACAGTATTTACACAGTGATGTGATCAAAAGGGATTAAACCTCAAAGCCAGACTTGGGTAAACATCAAACATCCGGCCATTGCAAAACCACACATGCAGCAGAAGGACCTTTTGCACCAGAGGACAGCAGGTCCAGGTCTGACAGACTGCAGAATCATCAGCATCATCACAATTACCATCATCAACATATTTATGAGTCTCTGACGGCAGATAGAGGCATGAAGTTGGCGTCTTCTCTGTCTGGCTCTGGCGCACACATCTTTCATTAGTCTAGATATTGACTATATTAACTTCATTCTGAAGCAAATTACACGCACAGACTGAAGTGTTATTTACCCCCTTTCTGTCTGGTTTTGGTGAAATCCAATTTACAGTACTTGTAATTAAACAGTAAGTGTGCCGCAGCTCTACTGAGCTTGCTGATATGAACAAGGCAGACATTCCAATTTACAGGGAGCTATTCAGGGATGATGCAAGGGGGTGAGGGGTGGAGGGGGGTTTGTAATAATAAGCTTCGGACCCAAAACCATAATGACTACAACAGGCAGGGGCAGATGCAGGTGGTGCAGATGAAGGTGGCTGGGAGTTCAGGGTGGAGGTAGAGACAGATGTAGGACAACAGCTTGGGTCATGGAGGTCAGCATGACTGCATATGTGTGTGTTCGAGGTGATAAAGGATGGTAAGGCAGGTGGGGGCTGAGGTGGGGTTGGGTGGGTCGGTGGGGGTGGGGTCGCTGGTGTTCGGGGTTAGAGGTCACCTTGCTCTCTGACGGGGGGCTCCTCCTCCAGCTGACCCACCGGGGCAGGCCAGGGCAACTCCGACAACTCCCTCATTTCTAATAGAGGGGGGAGAAGCGGGGAGGAGGCGAGAGAAAAAGGAGTGAGAAAACAGCAGATGGGTTTGAACAAAGTTAACCAAAGTGAAGATATGTGAGAGAGGCAGTGATGATACAGAAGTGAGACTGAACGCGGGTGCAAGATTTTAATATGAGGAGGAGAGAGTACATGAGAAGTGCGATGTGGAAGAGGTGAAAGACAGGGAAACCCAGTGTGTGTGCAGATGACAGGGATGTGGTGACATGAAATGTGGTTAACTATACTTCCTGTCATGTAGAGAAGTAATATACTTTACCTCCTGTCTCCTTGCTTCATCACGCTTGTGGAAGAACATAATCTTAGTGTTTCAGATTCTATATTTACAGTAATTTATCACGTGAGATAAGATGGAAGAAAGCGAAGAGGATAAGACAGACAGGACAGGAGAAGTTCAGAAGTTGCATTACTTATAGTGATCAAAACAAGTCCACTTTAAGGAATTGTCTCTTGGCAGTAGATGCAGTGAAAATAAAATGTGACTTCACGTGCAATGCATCCAACAGCGCGGTGTGACAGAGGAAGTGAGGAGCGTGGGGGCAGAATAATGCTCTATTCACTGTCCTACCTACAGTAGGAGAGCGGCAGAAGGTGCACTGTGAGACAGAACTGAAAATAGCTCATTATCTACCATGGAAGGCAACCATCTACTGTAACAGTCGTCACTGCAGCCTTACATACACAAGCACTGACACACGTACATTATGCGATTTGCCAGTCTCACACTATACATTCAGCTCCTGCTCACAGCGAAAAACGGATTACAAAACAAATAAAAGGAAAAGAGGGGTGACGTCTTAATGAGCCGACAAATCCAAAGACCCCCCAGGCCTGCGACATCAAAGGCCATTTGAATGGGCGTTTTGAGAGAGACCCAGGCTGTACATACATGCCTCTCTCCCTCCCTAGTTAATTATTGAGCAGGCAGACACACTCCGCCACTTTCTCTGGCTCTCCATGAATTATTGATGCATGGCGCAGTACAATGGCCCCATCTGGAGCGGGCCGCACCTCCGCTGAAGCCAGGATTAAAGTGTAGCCTGGCATCCCTCAATGGAAGACATGCACGCAAACACACAGGTCCACAAATACACACATATACACACACACTCACACACACCTGACACTCTGAAACACCATCACTGCCACACTCTGCTGCCTGTCCGCTCGCCACCACATCACATTTTACACCTCTAATTCTCAAGTAAAACTGAGAGAGACGCATGGAAAGAGGGAGGGGTGTAAATGAGCAGCACACAAAAACAAGTGAAGGGTGACAAGAATGGAGAGAGACAGGGTGGAAACAGCCAAGATAATTTATTAGAGATCAGAAATGTGCTCAGGCACATGAGCGAGAAATAAGCTCAGGTAGTGGCGTAGTGTAGACGGAGGAGAAAATTCCATCGAGATTCCTCTGCCTCAGTGTTTGTGGTAACTGTTGTCCCTCTTAACAAGTCATTTTGTCTGCTACTCTTGAGTAAAAGAAGTAAAGAAATTTACCAAAGAGGGTGGGATGATCTTATCCCATTTGCAGATTTGCCTTAATTTTAAAGGAAACAGTCTATGAACTGTGCATCCAAACAGATGTTTCGAACAGCACACTCTTCGACAGTTTCATACATTTCATTTTTCTTGATAGACTCATGATACATTGAAATGAGCCAGGTCATTCAACTACATGAATTTTAAACCCTGGTCTTTTGGATACGGGGTATTGTTAGTTGTTTTGTCATTGCAGGTACCAGACACCAGTCACTTTCCCAACGAACTGTAAATCAATTCCAAATATGCTGCTACTTAATTCAAAGATCTCATTCATTAACAGTCTTTTTTCCATGTTGTTACCTTAAGTGAATTATTCCACTATCTGAGAATATATGAGACCTGTATCAACACACTGTTTTCACATAGATTCATATTAAAATCACGTGTTTCCTCTGATTTGGGGGGGACTCCTTCTAAATCTGCAGACTCTAACCAGCTACACAGGACTATTGTGTTTCTATCACACACACGCAAACCTTGTCTGAGCTCCTCACTCTGATAACAAAAGGTTGAATACCAAGCTAACACACACACACACACACACACGCGCATGCATGCGCACACACACACACACACACACACACACACACACACCCACACCCACACACCATGTCACTCATTTACTAACAGGGAACATCTGGCTTCCATTCTCTTCTAACAGGAACCTGTGGATCTGCCATACATAGTAGGCTGTTAGTGCTCTGCTTTGTTTGCCAAAACAAGACAATGAGACACACTAAATGGTTTATGAATAAAGGCACAGTCACATCTGCGCTACTCGTGATTTGTATTTTCATGCTGTATGTGTTTTTTTTAAATTTTTAAAATTTTTTATAAATCGGTTCTGTCTCCCATATTAACCCAAGGGATGAAACAGGTGACAGCAATTCAGTAATTTGTGGTTTCATGTGCCTGGTGCCTCAACTACCTGCTAACAGTTACCAGAAATTATCTGAGGGGGAAGGAATGGCCAGATCAAGTTTTCCTTCCTCCTCCTTCCACAGAGCACTCGTTGCCTTAGGTGACGGATAACTGTCTTTTCAAGCACACCAGCTGTTTTCTGTGTCCTCGTAATAAAGGAGGAGCAGACAAAGACAATAGAGCAGCTTCATTAGGTCCATTAATGAAGACATCTGTTTTTCAAAACAGCCCTGGCATCTTGTCTTTTCTCTTCACACAAAAGACCTTCTGCTGGGCAAAAATGGCCCCCATAAGGAAAGACAATTAACACCTCGTGCCATTATGCCAGGGCAGGGGAAAAAAACATGCATTCACACAAGTTCCTTTTTCATATTAAAGATCCACACCTGTGCATCCATTCTCCAGAAATTCATTACACTTTTCCCCCTGTGGCTTCATTCCGCTCTCCCTGTCTTTCTCTCTGTATTGAACATTCCTCTTTCTTCATTTCCCTCTTTTCACCTACCATCTCTAAGTGGGGCATTATCTCTCTTTCCATATTCCTCTGCTCCTCTCCTCTCTTGCCCTACTCTACTTTCATCATCTCTCTCCCCATCTCGGTGAGAGAGAATCACGAAGGAAATGCCTTTTCATTAATGTCAGTAAAGGTTCACGCTGAAGGAGAAAGAAAATCAGTGAAGAGGGAAGGGGCAAGAGAGAGAGAGGAAAGGTGACAAAAAGAAGGAGGCAGGAGTGAGAGAGAGAGAGAGAGAGAGAGAGAGAGAGCAAGATAAGAGTCTTTCTACTGTGCCAGTAAATTGATGAAGAGACTGGTCAGATGCCCCCGGTGCCTGCTTAGAGCAACAGAGAGCAGCATCACACCAGAAATTGAAATCTCGTTTTTGTTAGTCCTTTTTTCTTGCTGGCATGTTTGTCTGCATGTTCGCATACACACAAACATACATTTGTAAGCTCCTACAGGAGACATGCACACACTCAGAATAGCCCAGGAAACCTTGTCCTGTCCTGTCAGAGCACATGCTTCCAGACACAGCAAAAACACACGCCGACCGCCTGTCAAGATGTCTTTGCAAGCTTTGCTAAACAGAGCTTTTGCTTCGGTATTCATTAACACTTTAAAGCACCCTTCAGCATCTTGCCAACAGTGCTATTTCTTCAGGAATGAATAAGGCAATCTAATTCTCTAGATGCCTTTTGAAATATATGTTTAATTTTGCATGTATGTATATCTTCCGTTATGATAATTGTCAGCAAAATGTCACATGTCCTCATTCCTCAGTTTAGCTTCTCATTTGCTGATACTACAGTCACAGTCATGCTAACAGCTCTGTGAGGCTAATAAGGCTGTGAGCTAAATGCTAATGTCAGCATGCTAGCAACTAACAATGACAATACTACATCCTAAGTTTAGCAGGTTTAAGGTTTACCATGTTCAGCATCTCAGCATGTTAACATGTGCCAGTTAGCACTAAACATAAAAGCACAGCTCAGGCTGATGGGAATGTTGTTAGTTATGCATTAATCAAAGCATTGGACAAATTAAAACATTGACCTGATACTGTACTTCATGAAAAGTTAAGGATCACCAAGGTGATTACAATATATGCAGCGTTTTTTCTGCTGCAAAGAGTTTACCTAAGCCTGCACCTAAACTTTTCCCCACCCTCTTATTTCTAGGACACACACGTGCATAGTCAGGAGCTTCCCTCTACAGTCCCATGTCTTTCACTGTTTCCTAATGAGCAGCTGCACTGAAATAAGTGGAAGATAAGTGCTTTGCAAACTGACACCATAATAGCAATTGCCAGGGGCGGCAATGTTATTCATTCACCTTCCCCATCCAGATTTCCAGCTGATTTGTGTCTCTCTCATCATGTGTCCACTCCTCCAGTGTTTGGCCATCATCTGACTCAAGCTGAATGGCTCAAAGCTCCTTTGGTGGACTATAAAACTTAAAAAAAAAAAAAAAAACAGAAATACCTAAAACACCCATTCATCTGTTCATTAGCTGTGGCCATCCGAGAGTTAATGAGATGGTGCCTTTCATTAGCTCACTAATTGGTGGTGAATGGCTGCAGGGCCAATCTCTCACTGCTGGACTGTCTATTGACTTCCAGGAATTAATGACTGCTGCAATTTGAGCTGGACGGTGGTGACTGGTGACAGCTTTCTAACGTTGTAATTAAAACCCACCGGACTGAGAGAGGCCTGTCACGTCCGACCCCTCAGGCACCCTCACACAGCTGGCTGAAGTGGACCCACTATTCATATCCAATGGAAAATAAATAAAATGCTTCGGAGGCGTCCTTATGTTTGCCATTTGAAAAATAGCCGCATGCAACATTCACTCGATTACATTTAAGCATGGATAATCTGTGAAAATCATAATCAGAGAGATTCTGTTCAGAAGCGCTTGCATAAATGCAACGCACGCAAATCCAGATACAATATGCTCCAGCAGTCCTCCCTAACCCTCCCCACTCCGCAACATCCACACACTCATTTGTGCCAACATGCACACAACCTCTTCTCACCCTTGAATTAGGAGCCTAGTGATAATCACAGCTGGAAAACCTATCTGAGGAATCCACATGTGTGTGTATGTGCATGCGCCTCTGTGGAGGTGATGATGAGGGGCTGCTGGCAGATCGTGATGCCCCCCCCCTTTGCCCCCCGTAGCGGGTTATCTGAGTGAGTGTGTCACATCCGTAGGGAGGGAGGGCTGCGGGGACAGCCCTGTCACTGCTGCTGTGCTGGTGTGTATATGTGTGAGAGAGTGTGCCTGTGTTAGCGGATGACTGATTGCACCCTGCTACAATGGCCCTGACTCCCCCTCCTCTCCGTTCGCCTCACCTCGCCACAGCCCCCGACCATTAATTCTCCTCAACGCCCCTCCCCTCTGAAGCACAGGGCCTCCACAAACATCCATTGAGCTGCCACCAAACATACCATAATCTCAGACACCCCTTTCTAGTTCTTTACAGCTAGCTTTCTCTACAGCCTCTCTATCCATTTTCCATATCTCTGTCTCTCAAACCTCCTCTTCATCTCTTTTTTTTTCCACAGTCCATCTTTTCCATCTCTCTCTTTTTCTGCTCCGTCCTTGTCCTCCCCATCTCTCCCCTCCCTCTCATGTGGGCCGTGCCTAGCAACGGCGAAAGGGTCTGGGAATATGGATTAAATGTGAGAATGGAAAATACTGTTTGTGTGTTTACACTTCAGTGCTTTGGTCTGCTCAGACAGACAGCACGCCAGCTCAGAGTGCTGACTCCAAATGGAAAAAACAAGGGGTCAGACAACTCGAGTCTCACAAGCGTTTTCCTCCACTGCGTTCTCTAATGGTGCTGTAAGCGCTCCTCTGCAGGACTGCATACTGTATGTGGCACCAAGAGGAAAAAGCTTGAAAACAACAGATAAAGCAGGAATGAGTGCTAAGTAGGTGAGAGGTGATATTGGCTTTTAAATGAACCGTTATGCACCTCCTTTTGAAACTTCACTCTCAAATAAGCAACGGTGTCTCTTTGCTGCTCCTCTGGTTAAAGCGATTCAAGCACGAACATGGTGTGAATGGATATGCCTGCGTGTGTGTATGTGTGTGTGGATTCATACAATTGTGTGCTGACCATGACTCTCTTATTAGCACTGGATCAGTCACGCACATGTAGGCATGTAATTAACTGAGAAGAAAGGAGGGGGCACACAAGAGGGGAAGAGAGGAGGAGGACGGGAATGGAAGGGAGTGCACATGAGGCAAGGTTGATTTATTATCCCATCACCTTGACCTTGGTGACTTAGAGATGCAGCTCAATTAAGCTGACTTGGCCTGGCATGCCTTACACTGATCCACTCCTAAATGACCTATCAGTCTGCTTCTGTTTCTCTGTACCTCTCTGTACCTCTCTATCGCTCTCACTTCACTCTCTCCCTCCAATTATATTCAATATATAGAACATAACAGGATGGGATGTGACGCACACTGTCAGTGCAACTTTAAAAATACACTATGCCTAACTATTTTTTTTGAAACTATAAATTATTTTGAAAAAAAATGATTGTCAAAGAATATTAACCTTGTTTTCTGTGCTCCTCCAATGCTAATCCTCTTTTTATGACATCAACTGTATCTCTCTCACACCACACACAAGACATCACGATCATCTCAGAGGTTGTTGTGACTGTGGTTTTCCACATGTGTGAGAGCAAGAAATCAATAGTCACCAGAAGGTGTTTAGATGTAGTAAAAGAGACAGAAAGATATGTGTCATTTGAGCTGAGACTGTGAAGGTCACAGCAGTCTGCATTTCTTGCAAAAAAAAAAAAAAAAAAGGCTTTGGAGCTGTAATGATGAGGGGGCAGGCACCCCATTAAAGGTCAAGACAGTTAGATGAGTCTTTCACAGTGTAGTTTCAGCAGCAGGGCTCTCTGTATGCTCCTGGATGGCTTTTTAAAACGATTTTTGTGGAGTTTTAACCATTTCCACTAATTCTAATTGGTGATTAAAACATATTTTGCGCAACACCTTATTGTTCATGTTTGGCACACAGAGGCTCCAGGAGATGTCCTCTTTACAGTGGGTGATAGAGATTCAGTGTTTAGATCAAAGACAACAGAAGATTGCTAGTCTGGGGGCTTTAAGCTAGACATTCAGTTAAAAATGCTTTTCCTGAATACTGCTTAGTCTGCCAAAACTGTTTTCTGGCAAGCTCTGAGTATCGATTCAGCCTGGCAGCTTGAGGCCAGAAGAGCCAACAAAGCATGAGGAGTGGTTTAGACAATGATGTCTAAAATGTTTTCAAAAATTCATTTTCTGGACAGTTTTGACATTTTCCAGTTTGAAAAGCGCAAGCAAAGACCAGCGACATTCCAGTATCATGGGGTAAACCAATCAGGTGTAGGAACGGTTCATTGATGGAAAGCTTATTGATAATCTATAGTACAGCTTCATGATTTGAGCCTTTTTAGACCACAATGACTGAACCAAAATTCCTGGATGGGCTTCAGTCAGACTATAATCCAAGGTTGTTTTTGTTGACTTTACTGCCCACATACCATCATAATGTTTCTGGTTACCTGCAAAAGCTTTGGAGATATGGTCCTTTTTCCATTCCCAGGGTTGGTCATACTCATCGGCCGGTCTCTCATCATCTTGCGGCAGCCTGCTGCTCTCCTTGCCCTCTTCCTGAGGTTCTCCATACATCATGCCCAGACGCTGGCCTCGCTCATCTTCATAGGGGGTGTCGTAGAGCTGCACCCCGCCACGCACCCGTCCTCCTCCTGGGCCACGCTGCAGCTCTGTTATACCATATGCGAAACGACATAAATTCAAACACATGCGAGTAGACATTCAGAGATTTGTCTTATGTGCCCCATTTATCGACTCTGCAAGAAATCAGATAATATTAAGAAATAATATTTACCAGCAGGTTCCCCTCAACACAACACTGATATTATTCTGCACTACAAAGTAAAACAAAGAGCCTGTTGAGCTCTGACATGACTAGAATTAGAGAAGTGAGACAAATGATGTTTGCACAGCTTGCCGTGGGCTCAGAATCTCATATGGGGGGGCTTAATGAGGCCTTGGGCTAGATGCTGAGTTGCAACACGGTTGAAAACCACCCCCCTCCTCTCGTCCATCCTGAATCCCAGCAGCAATCTAGCGCGGCTCAAAACAACATCCATGGTCCCTTGTTAACATTTTCATCACTTTCTCAGTGGGTTCCAACCTAGAAATGCTTCTCAGCACCTGCAGCTGTTATACGGAGTCAAATATGGCCATGAGATAAAAGGCTTTAAGGTTATTGACGCAAGCTAGAGGATGAAATCTGATTTCAATAGGAGCCTCTGAGCCACAACAGCAGCAGCAGAAGCAAAAGCAATCAGCAGTGGCGCTTTGTTGACCTCGAAAATGTGACCTTTAAAAACTAGGTGGTACAGATGAGGGAAAAAATGGGGGACAAATGAAGGAATAGGCATCTTTTGTGTCCCCAGCCAGGAGCCTTGCAAAGTAGACGCACTCACATGAGAAGGGAACAGGACTAAATGGAGGGATTCACTGGTGAAAAGCAGAGAAAACTTTAACCTTCACACGACAAGACGCCGCTATTGGGCGGCCCTGTAGTCACCATGGCAACCGAGTGGAGACCCTGGGGAAAGTCCCTGAGGTTATGAAGAAGAGGGTGGAGGGGAAATGGAGAGAGAGGAGGAGCAAGGTGAGGGAGGAGGGAAAGAGGAGGAGAAGATGTGGTGGGGTGAGGAGCAGGAGGAGAACGAAGAGGAAAGGGAAGCGGTGGGGAAACAAGGGGAGGAGGAGGGCAACGGGAGAGAAGGACAAGGGAGGGAGGATGGGACGGGGTGAGGGGGGTGGGGGTGTGGGTGTCTGTCAACGTTTGATGTAAAGTCATTGAGACAGAAGCACAGCGGGGCTGAATGCTGCTCTACCTGCGCTGGGAACCCGCAGTGTCAGCGGCAGCCTGGAGATGGAGAAGATGAAGGCGAAGAGATAAAAACAGGCATGGAGGAAATAAAATGAGAAATTCATAGGTAACATGATGGAGGAAAACACAAGCGTGAGAGGGGGGGGGGGGATCTAGCAATTTGCAAGAAAGGTGACAAAGATACCGTAGAAGATTGAGGAGAATGACAACAGGGAGGGCTGGGGGGTGTTTAGGCATACAGATGTGAGGCAGACCAATAAACCTTATCCCTATAACCATATAAGCCTTTATCCTCACAAAACGAAACTCAAGAATCATGACAGAGTTAAAACCACACCAGCTGGAGAGATGTAAGCATTAAAGATGTTTTTCCACCTAAAAGTACAGTCTGAAAAGCACACAGGTGTCTTTTCAGGACAGTCTTTGTGAAAGATAATTACTATTCCGATCTCACTGTCTTTGACGCTCTGCTGTGTTTTTTAATGAGCAAAAACAGACAGAGAGACAGACAGACAAAAGCAGGCAGACAGACAGCCCTGGAGTGACAGGCACAATTCAAAGTCAATGAAAGAGCTGTGACAATGCTTTGCCAAATGCTCTGCCATCACTGCTGTGAATCTAATCTCTCCGATGGCTCCATCCAGCTGCAGCGAGGTTTCTCCGTTTGGGCAGAAGGAGAGGATGCTCCATTCAGTTAAGCCTGAGATTATGGACTTCATTTGACCAGCAAAAAGGGGTAGCACAAGTGACAGCAGAGAGCGAGCGGGACATAAAATTTGCTAAAGAACAAATGAGAGGGACAGCCAGACTCCCCTCAGGGCTGGGGAGAGCCCTCGAGATGAAGAGAGATAGAGAAATGGAGAAAGAGGAGGGGGAGGCTTTTACACTAAATGACTGGGACAGACCAGGGAGAGCGCAAGGGGAAGGGGCAGACAGAGATGTTATGGGAGGAGAGACAAATGGAAACCGATAGATGCGAGTTAGATGGTGTGGGAGAAAATAGCAAGGGAGGAGGGAGGGTTCGAGACTGGATAGGCATCTCCAAAGGGCAGACTCATCTGAGATGAACTAAAAGCACAGGGGAGTGGACAGTTACAACACTCTAGAGCAGAACTGCTGCCAACAATGAAGCAATTAAACAAGAAATACGGAGCAAAATATGGAAATAAAGACAGATTATTCTATAAAGGCAGAAATACTTCACAACAGAGAGAAAGAAGAGTAATAAAGAATAGTAATGTCATTGAGAAATTGCTGACAGATTGTAGATAATACATGACTGATTTTTATGATGTGATCTGATTTAACCTTTGAGGATGTCCACTTAATCTCATATTATGACTACATGTGAAAATAACTGTCAGAGATAACTAAAAATGAGACATTGAAACACAAAAAGGAAGGGGTAAAAGGAGAGGGAACGGGGGAAGGGAACTAAACCACTAGACCTCCCTTGAAAGTGGCTCACTGAAACACTGTAATACTGATAAGACACTGGGCAGTAAGAGTCCTCTGACCTGTTATGACCCTCTGGGCCTCATACGGCTCCATGTAGCCGTTGTTCTCACAGGGAACAGGTCCGTGATCTGGCTCCGGCCGGTGGTCCAGTCGAGCATCGAATGGGTCAGAATAATCTGTGTCCCCTGCCAGCGGAGCAGAGGGCACCACCTAAATAACAAAGCACACACATAAGAAGAATGACTTTTGCTACCGAACATTAACTTGTCCCCTTAGAGAAAGAATGCCCCTAGAATTTTTTTTGATTTTGTATAGAAATAAAAAAATACTTTAAATATGTTTTTGTCCTGCAGGCACATGTGCAAAAACAGCTAGAATCCCAATCATAGGCTATAATGAATTTCATCTAGCATTTCCTAAAAGCACCCGCTTTTGAATCTTTGAATTTGAATAAAAACATCCTGGGGCATGCATGTTTTCTGATAATTAGAAGAATTTGGTCTGTATGTATAAGTGCTTAAAAGGAAGTGTTGCACAGACAATAGCTCATCAAGACCCGAGATGGAGGGAGCAGCGCAGCACTTTTAAGAAGCAATCACATCCTCAGTGAATGGCACATTAAATACGTGTTTGGTTACAGAAAAAATGCTTTTTGAGTATCCTCAAGACACTAAAATTGCACCATTAGTGTGCAACATCACAATAACACACCACAACGGTGTAGAACCTACACAATGTTCCCTCTTTAAAGCCTTGACGGGGGAACTATATTGTGTCTTTGTTTTGTGGTCACATTAAAAGGAAAATGCAATACAGCAAGAAACCGTCCTGTCTGTGAGGATGATCCTCTTTTTTTTTTTTGGTGGAGGAAGAGAGTACAGAGGGAGCTGGTTGGTCGGTCGGGAGCATTTGTTCTTTTATGCAAGCACAGGAGGAAAACAGTGGTCAGCTGGCACACTGACAGCTACAAAGGCAGCCATATGGTCTGTCTGACACACACACACACACGCACACACACGCGCGCGCACGCACGCACACACACACACACGTGTACATTCCTACAAACACACAGACCCTTCGGCAAAGTGCTCTTGTCCTTTCGCGCTCTTCCTCTCTTACAAAGGAAATCACTCCAGCAAGGCTCGCTCCACAAATTCCTGCTAAACACGCACACCTCGCAAAATTACATCCTAATCCCATGTTGGTTCTGTAACAGGTTACCTATCGATGCACAGGAATCTGCAATGTTAATTAGAGGGCGGATGTTCCCACAGACCCTGGGAAATTAATGAGAGCAGGAGGAGAGTTGGGTAGAGAGGGAAGCTATTGACTTCAGTTAAGACTATTACTTCAATTCACTTCAGGCCTTTCACACTTGTAGCATTTTCCACGAGTGGAGTCATGGATTTAGCGATGAAAACCCTGAAATACTCCTGAACTTACTCGGCATATGTGATCTGAATTAATGTGTGGACCATTTCCTTGTGAAGCATTTGCTTCTGCTCCAGTCGCTCTCTCAACATCTGTTTGCCTTTTTTTCCCCCTCACAGCAGCCGTGTATGTTTTCTACAGCACAACACGCATAGTACATAGTCGGGAAAGCACTGCAGCCTCGATGACACAAACAGCACCAAAGCATAAATTATACCTCCCTGTGGCCCTTGACACATCAGCATACAGTGTACTGTATATGGCCCCTAAGGTGCTCATGTGGGGGTCTCTCTCAGCTTGCAAAACCAAACCCCATTTATTATTTATGGAAGGACATAAACTCAGGGGACTGTGACCCTCTCCAACTCAATGGTCCGCTCAAGCCATCAATAATTCTTTTTTCCCATCTACAGTAGCAAATTTATGTGGCGCGTGGGATGTAATGTGATTAATGTAAACAATACATATTTGTGACATACATTACCAGTCACTTGCTTATGGAGTCTGATCAATAAAGCTGTCACTATGATGGAGATGAGATGAGAAAGAAGAGGGGCAGTGTTTTTTTTTTTACCTTCCTTGCATCCCTCCTTCTCACTTCACAAGACATACCACTTAAACATTTTAATCCATCATCCTTCACTTTTTGCTCTGAACACATGTAAAGGTTATGAAGAGGCGGAGGCTCTTACAGGCTCTTGTTGGTCCTCTAAAGAGATGGCACTGAGGAGGATCTTGGTGCGCCCCAGCTCCTGAGAGTCCACTTTGATCAGTCTGTGTTTAGGAGACTTCACATCCAGATTGGATGACTTCATGGGAGACCCATACACCGGTGTGGCAGGTTCAGAAGCCCCAGACTCGCCCCTGGATCTGTTCTCAGAGTCCTCATAGGGATCTTCAAAGTCCAGGTCCCTCTGGAGTCGGTACGCTTTGAGGATCTCGCTCTCGGTGTAGTCTGGTGTGGGAGGCTGTGGAGGCACCTTCCTGCTGCCAAAGCTCAAGTAGTCTTTCAGCCACTTGGCCATCTCAGCTCAGCTTCCAAACGTGCTGGTGTGTAGTGGAGAGAGAGCAGGAGGCTGCAGGAGGGCAGACAGGGACAAAACAATGGGGTTACTGCCTGACCTTATTTCTGGCTATACTGTGTGAGCTGTGGATTTGATTTGTTCTGTGGGTTTGTGTTTCTCTTTTCATGAGAGGTCAGTTTAAAGATTAAAAATCTAAATACAATATTAATCCACAGGTCCCGATCCTCCCTTAATATTTGTGCTGGACAACTTTTTTTGGTGATGGCAGACCCACAATCAATGTGCGTTTACATGCACTCAAGTGACATTAAACGGCACCAACAGCTGGGCTTTAAGCACTCCTTTTGTTTTACGCAGGGAGCAATAACGTCTGGCATCTGGACTTTGCCCAAAGGCTGCAATTACATTTCACACCCCTGCAATAAAATCCGACGTTAACACGCTGATAAAAAAAAAAGGAAGAGGCAAGACTGGAAGAGAATATTAAAAAGTAATGTGGAATCAAAGAAATCTAAAATGTATAAAATTCAATCTTATCTGCTTAGTTAACCAAAATCTAATCCAATAAATTCAGAATTAGGCAAAGACATGTTTGGAACATTAAATGCATTTTTTATTCAAACTATCAAACTAAAGATTTTTTTTCTTAAACTTCTCACCAAAACACTAGATTTAAATACCAGTGAGCTCTGTGCTGCTAAGGCACACTCACTTACCAATCCTATTCAGTCCTTCAGCCACTTTGGATGCTTTATTCCGCGTTTCTTCATGTCGATGACAATAAAACGACACCGAGAAGAGACAAAAACCTTCCACGCTTTTAATTCCCCTAAAAAAAAGGACAAGAAAAAAAAAGGCAGCAGCTTTTCTGGAACAAAACAAGAGCGCTGATATCCAGCGGAGTTCTTCAACCCGCTGACGGCAAATGTGCGAGTGAAGAGAGCGACTACAGCTCCGGCGGAAAGTCAACCGAGCGATTAAAGGGGAGGTGCTTCATTCCCAGTGGAATATCCTCCTATTCCCTTTCGCAGTCAGCCGACCGTTCATTCATTGAAATATCTGCACATCTGCAACAAGAGATACTCCCTCTGTCAAAAGCACAGTCGCTGTATGGGGAAAACAAGTGAAGAACCGGCACTGGGGATGGGGTGGGGGGGTGGGGGGTGTTACTATCAGCTCGCACGAATGTGCCCCAAAGATGTGCATTATTTATTGGCATGACATCACCAGAGAGTTTTTATGTTGTAGCATCAGTAAAGGTTTTTTTTTCTCTTTTACTATGACATTACTGTTTCCCTAAAAGCACATCAAACTGCAAAAAGCCTGAGAGTTGAACAAAACTGTTTTCTGCTCTATCTCAAGGGATTTGGTGGAATAGGGAAATCCTGTCTCCCTCTGGGCAACATGAACACTGTAGTAAAGTTAAGACAGAGGTGGAGACACAAAAACACTCCTTATCACATAGACAAGATGAAAAAAGTCACTGGAGCCTGTCAACTCTGACCGAAAAATAAAGCATTTTGTTCAGTTTCATTCCTTTTGTTTTGTCCTTCTTGCTCTCTCTGAGTGTGTTTCATCCTCTTACAGATGTCCCATTATCCAAGGTCCAGGCTGGTAAATTGGATTATGTGCTACAGTGAGTAAGGCCCATCTAAGTCTGTTAAAAGACCGTAAATGCCTCTTTCTTTACGACACTCATGAGCTCACTTTCTCCCAGGGGTGGGAGACTATATGAGGTCATCGTGCTAGAATCCAACCCCACCACAACCATCAACAGTATCCCATCAAGACTTTCACATCTTCCTCCTCCTTCCTGCCTGGTCTGTCTGCACCTCTGTTAAGTACGGCTGAGTCTGTGTGTGTGTGTGTGTGTGTGTGTGTGTGTGTGCAAATTGCAAATATTGTATCTTTTAGGTCCCTGCAGTTCAATTTAAATTAGTTGCTGTGGTTAAGCAGTTAACTTGAAGACAGGATCAATTCCATGACAGCAGCCAATACAAAAGCCTGTCACATTTTTTTTTCTTTTTACCAGTGTTTAGTGTCTCCTTCTCAGTTCACTAGTTCCCCCTTGAGAAAGGTTTTCAAAAATCTTTACAGAACAAGGTTGTGGGAACAACAAAATCTCAACATCATTATCATGTGGGAACATGATCAATATGTTGGTGTAAAGGTCTTATCTTCTGAGAACAAGATCTATTAATTCAGTAAGTTGATAGAGATCTTGTTGGCACAACACATGGACCTTGATACTTCAAGATAAATTGTTTGCACAATAGCTGGGGATGCTCTTCCCACATGGCCACTATTTCAAACAAGTTAGGATCTTTTTTCTCACATTACAAAAAAAAATCCATGTTCCTCCCCCTTCCCTCTCTCAGCCATTCTTTTCTACCTTTGCATTTTTGTCTCCTGTTATCTCTGAATGTACCAGTAATCTTCCCTCTCTTCTCCCTCCTCTCAGCTAAACATTCCCCTTTTTCATCTGCACAATCGTCTCAGTCCAACACCTCCTCTGATCCCCCTACATGCCAGTAACATATTGAACATACATTTCATTTTTCTTTCCATCCTGGCCCGGGGTGAGAGCCAGAATTATATGGAAGAAAAGATTGAAACTGAGCAAGAAATGGAAAATAAGAGACAGAGAGACAGGCAAGCTGTCAGAGTCAGACTCATGGAGAGCACAGAGGGAGATGAGAGGAAAACTGAAAAAGAAAATTAGGGTCTCTTACAGAGAGAGATAATCACAGGCAGACAGACAGGCACAGTCATTGTGTTTTTTGATGCAAAATAAACTCTGTTGCGTAGAAGCCAGAAATTTAATTGAATCAAAGATAAACAAGAAGGCACAGTGGAATGGTTCAGATAATTAATAAGATTCCCTCATTATAAAGGGCTAAATATGGCTGTGACATTTTCTCTGAACTTCACGCTTCACTCAGATGTTGCTCTCTCCCAGCTCAATGGCATTGTTTATGAAATATGAAAAGGTATACAAACACGCTGTTCCCTCTGTAGCACATCAGCAGCTGTAGAGATTCATGTGCAACCTGACACACACCAACAAAGGTTATCTTTCAAAGCCACCAATTTTTCTTCTTGAGTATAATCATTTAATTAATGGGCTGGAAAAGATGCTACACAGACTTGTAGGAATAAGTGACTTCCATAGTTTCATCTGCCTTACATTTACTGCCCTCATCTGATGGCTTATGTGTACTGCACGCCTCCTGAAATGACAACAGAGGCAGGTCTCAACTTCATAGTTTGTGAAAATGAAGTATTAGTATCTATTCATGGCCAAAAACCAGGCACTGTAGATGAACAGAGGTGTTAATAGTGCCTCAGTAGAGTATAAGTTTAACTAAATATATAAACTCAGTGGCACCCTAAATAGTAGAGTCAAGCTTAGCTGGGTTAACCCTGCTCCCAACTATTTTTTATTTTTCACTCACCTCACATTTTCTTTAAAAGAATGAGCTTCCGGGTTCAGCTCCTCCAGTGTTGTCATTGGTTAAAATCGCCGTTTTACGTTTCAGTGATTGGCCAAAATATGCAAAACAAGGAACTTACCCTCAACAGCCCCCCTTGCCCCCCGTGTCGAATTGTGAGCTAAAGGTGCTGTTGAAATGGAGAGCACCTACAAAACAATACGTCGTACACGACGGAATATGCTATTACACAGTCTCCACAGCCTGTTCAAAACAAAAGAGCACCTGCAAATTTCAGCGCGCATCCTTGCGGAAACTGCCCCACGTTGTTGTTGGCTGTGCTGCACGCGACAGACACAAAACGCCATTCATCATTTCCAGTCATATGCTAATTCGGCGTTTTGCGCATTGCTGATTGGTTGATTTACGATCGGGGGCGGGTGCATTCCTGCTGTCCGCCAGGCAGCAGTGACTTCAGTGTTTTTTACTGTGAGCAGCAGCTGATGGGACAGAGGAAGCACCCACCTGGACCAGGACTGTCCTCCACAGGTAGGCTGCATGTTTCTCTGGTTATGTGTTAACTGCATGACCTGCATTAGGGTTTATGTTAGCCCTTAGTTGACACATTTTCTAATGCATTCATAAATGTTTGGTACACCTAAATGTTGGAGTGTTTCTGAGACCACTTGATGACTGAACCCTGGGGAAAAATGAAAACCTTTCTGAATCACAAGTTTGTTTATTTACCTTGTTTATTTCAGTGTTCCTGACAGTGGCTATCAAGCCATTATGAAGAGTCTGAAAGCAAAGTTTAAAAAGAACGAGGTAAGAGCCATCTGTTGATGGGCATGTGGAGCTTTGCAGTTGGGTGTTTTTAAAAGTAGTACACTATTTTCTATGTCTACAAGCTATCTCCAGATATAAGCCATACCAGCTGTGTTTTAACCTAATATTACAGTGCCCAGGCGCTCTACATTAAATAGCCATTTATATAGGTCCCATGTTGCAGGAGGGCAGACAGGTTGCTCACTCCTCTGCGTGTATGGGGGGGCTATGGGATTCAGTGTCACTGAGCAGCAGCAGGAGAGCAGGGCTGTCTCCAGACTGCTGCTATAACCAGTGATCTCAGGTAGCCTTCAATTATTCACATGAACGTGCACACACACACACACACACACACACACACACACACACACACACACACACACACACACACCCACATTAAAAGAATTTCTACTTTCCTGCTGTTATCACCGTGTTACTCTGATGGGCTTTGTATTGTGGGGGTTAAACTTGTTCTCTGATGTTCTGTATTTTTTTTTCTTTCTTGCTCCACGTAGCCAGGTGCTTGTTGCAGGCTGACTTAATGGTGTCAGCGACCTTGCACCCTTGCACCACTGGGTCACAGGTACAAGCAGATAAACTAGCAACTGCTGGCTGTAAAATGTGGTCTAAGTATTTGGATCCTGATGAAGCTGATGAACACCATTACAGCCTGTTACTGTCAGTAATTCTACCTCCCTGCTGCCTTGGACTTCACACTTAGTGATCACCACAACAATGGTGACAAAGTAGTAGTTTCACTTAATAGCTACTTTAGATAGATAGATAGATAGATAGATAGATAGATAGATAGATAGATAGATAGATAGATAGATAGACAGATAGATCTGTGGCTTGCTGGTGTTTGTGTACCTCACAATGTCCCCTCAGCTCCGTAAATGACCATCCAAAGGAGCAGAGCAGAGTGCGGCTTAACCAGCTTGTTTCTCTTCTTTTTGCTGAGTCCTCACATCACACAGGCCCGGCTCAGTAACTGCAGAGAAACAGATCTATGACGCTGCCAGGGGGGAACCGTGCAGGACCTGACAAAAACTAATGGAGAGAAAGAAAGAGTGAGGCTGCTACAGAGAAGAAGGCAGCAGAGAAATTATGAGGTCAGAGAAAGGAGGACAGTGAAGAAAAGAAGGAGGTGGCAGAGAGAGTGTGTGTGTGCGTGTGTGAGGTGCGAAGGTAAGACTGGCTATGCCCCTGCTAGCAGCTGGAAACAGGACGAGAGGATGCTGTCTCGGATGCGGACAGAGAGGCGCTGCACAGGGAGATGTTGTGAGGACAGAGATTAACAGCGTTACTGTGTGTGTGTGTCAGAGTTTATGTGTGACGAGCTATTCTGTTTTATTGGTTGTGATTTTGAGTGTAGCATACAGTCTCTGGCTTGAAGATCTCTATTGTGTTGTTGCTGTGACCTTTGAAGGGTATCTGATAGAAACTTGGGGTTATCTGAGTTCTCGACATGATCTGTTGTACGTCTGGGCTTGTTTTGTAGCCAGGCGACAGTTGTATTGTCATTCAGGACGCACAGTGGTGGCCTTGTACACTGTAGCTGTATTTAGTCGAGTGTGTGACGCCCTGCTGGAGCTATGGATCCTCAGCAGCCTGTTTTTAGCTTGATGAAGCGGTTCTGTCCTTGTCTCAGTCTGCTGCCGCTGCCAGTAGGTATCCTCTCTCTCTATACCCAGTGAGCATTTGAATATGAAAGAAAACTGAGGAGCTTTTACTCTCTGTTTATTTTTGTCTTAAAAGTAGTTTTATGTGACTTGTAAAACTGGTCATATTCTGTTAATGATCTCATATTTTTACATAGACATCAACATTGGTTGTTGCACATTCTAATGATATTTCTTTAGGCTACCCATCCATTGTTTTGTATGTTATGAGATATGCAGTATGGTATCGGTTTTCTTTGTGGCAGTACAGGGTGATGACCTGTTCTCTGGCTTGCCCCCCCCCCCTCAGAGTCAGGACTGGAGTAAGAGTGATGAGAGGCTCCTGCAGGCTGTTGAGCAGAATGAACCTGACAAAGTCTCCGCTCTCATCGTCAAAAAAGGTCTCTGTCCCACCAAGCTGGATGCTGAGGGCAAGTCAGCGTAAGTTAATCATCTAATTTTTACCCTTAAAAGTTACTTTGGGAATTAAACAATTACTTGTAATATTCAAATTCCTTAAAGTTGCATTAAGATTATGGAACATGATTTATTGTGTGGGAGTATTTAGATCAATCCAGTTCTTTATCAATTCTTTTTTGACCTTTTTCTGTTAAATGGTTTGGTTTCATTCCCTGCTTTCTCTTGAACTAAAACTAATGATTAGAGAAATCGGCAGTGTTGGAGCTGAAGAATGCTCAGATTTTAAATGGAAACCAATTCTCATTTCTCATCTCTAATCCTTCCTTCTGACAGCTTTCACCTCTGTGCATCACGAGGCCGACTAGACTGTCTGGAGGTGATCATCTCTCATGGAGCAGATCTCAACATCCCTGATGGTGCCGGTACAGCATTTTATTTACTGAATAACAGTCTAATCTCATAACCCAAGGTTGTTGAATTGCACGTGTCATGGATTGTTTATAAATGTCTGTTTATAACTGACTGACTCCAGGCTTCAGCGCCCTTCACCTCGCGGCCAAGAATGGCCAGCCAGAGTGTTTAAAGAGACTCTTACAGGTAAAATACAAAGTGACACCACTGTCTGGTCAGCCAGTTAATATTGGAAAATACACTGAAAATGGATAAAGGACTTTGCAAATGAATCTTTATGATTTTGTTTTGTGTTTTAACTAACAGGAAAGGTTGACAGTAGATTGCACAGACAGCATTGGCAGGACACCACTTCATCACGCAGGTAACAGTTACACAACCACAACAATTTGCATGCTACACACATAGATCCCATTCAACCTAATTTAAGTATTGAAAACAAGCCAGCATCATATGTTATATGTAAACCTTTGATATCAACCATAGTTCTGACTATTTTCTGCAGCAGTCAGTGGCTGCTTGTCCTGCACTGAGACTCTGTGGGACTTTAAAGCCAACATGGATAACCAAGACAGTGTAAGTTGATGATTACAGTTAAAGTATATGAATTTTTTTTTTAATTGTTGTGTGAGATGGAATTTTCAGGGTTTTACTTCTTATTTACTTTTGGTCTTATTCAGTACATTAGACAACATTATCAAATATCCATCTGCGCTGTTGCTCCATGATGTTTGGATGTTCATATGTGTGTCTCTGTCAGGATGGGGCCACACCTCTGATCTTAGCAGCCCAGATGAGCAGAGTGGAGATTTGTGTGTTCCTGTTGGGACGAGGTGCTAATGCAAACATACAGGACAACCAGGGAAGGTACTGGTACTTAGTTAGTTAGCTAGTTACCTAGTTAGTTAGCAGGGCAGCTTAACTCTCCTTCATCCATCTCACTGTTGCTGTAGCCTTGACAGATGGAATGACTGAGAGGGAGAGACAGTGGGGGGCCTGTTGGGGCAGACTTGAACATGATGCAGCTTCTTCAGCTAAGCTAGACCCTAAAAACCTCATCAGGATTATTCTCACAGCAGTAGGGTTGCAGGATAATGTAGGATACAGGAAGGATTCCCGTAAAAGGTCTCCAGTAGTTGGGAGTGCTTGGGAGAGATTTGGATGGATGGAGGTCAGGACCTCTAGCAGGGAGCATCCGCTTTTAATTTTGGCTTAGATCGCCCCTGGGAGAAGATGATTATAGGAATTTCCTCATGGTTAACATTAACAAGGTTGAAGAATGCAATTTTTTCAGGCTGTATCATTACATCAAATCAAAATGTTTCACTGCTTTATACTTTATATCATATACTGTAATTTCCTAGTAATTCCTCCTGGCTCAAAGTCGTTTAGGTTTTATCATACTACATGTTTGTAATGATCTGATCATGCTAATGATCTGCCCCTTACTACAATTATATAGATCTAAAATACTGTAAATATACTGTGTGATTTCTACAGTACTAATTTTGATGACAATGTTTGTGAATCACAGATCTGCATTAATGCTGGCCTGTGAGAGTGACAGTGTTGAAACCGTAGAGGCTCTGCTGAGAGGCGGGGCCAACACACAAGTGGTTGACGCCCTTGGACACAAAGCTGCCGACTACAGTGTAACCACAAGCAACCAACGTGTCATACAGATGTTGCAGGATGGAGTACCTCCAGGTACAGTATGAGGCCTGGGGGCCTTTTTGATTTGTAGCAATAGAGAGGATAGAATTATTATAAATCAGGCCTAACTAGTTTGGGTAAATCAATTGAATAAATGAAACAGCTCATGACAACACAACATGTGGTAGCAGCATCTTGCAGACTATCAGTATGGCTTCTGTTTGTGACTGTGCTTCTCTGGATCCTGGCTCTTAAGCTGTAAGACTGTATTAAAGTGGATCAGGAGGACAGCTGGGTGTGATTGCAAAGTGGGGTTTGAATAAAAAGGAGACGAAAGGCTTGTTCCACTTTTATCTCCCAACAAAGACATAGCTGTTATATGAAAAACAGATGTGTGACTGGTTGGAAAAGGAGATGAAGGAGAGAATTTGGTGTGCATATGATGCCTGACCGCATTAGCTTTTATTCTTTAATTGGAGATTTTGGTGGATTTACTACTAGATACATGAAAGCCACGACTATAACCTACATGTTAAAAAGTGAGTGGAAGTGAGAGCATGCATGTGCACATATTCTCATGTGCCTCTGGCAGTTCGATGAAGCTCACTGCTATAGAGGTTAAAGTATTTTGCTGTGTGTGTCTTTTCCTTCTGCATACGTAGCTTCTGAGGGCGCAGGCGAGGAGGTAATGTTGCATAGCTGTGTGTTGCATCACTCCCTCCATCAATGAGATCACGGCCCAATTTGGCCGATCATATTGTGCATGTTTTCCAATATGAGGTCATTGTTTTTGTGTGCTTCTTTCTTTTTGTTGGCTTTCATTCCCCCTGTTGTTGCTCCATTTTCCCATTTTAAGTTGAGCTTTACCTCTACTGATCCCCCTCCCAACCCCCACACAGCCCCCCCAAGTTCCCTCAGGCGCGTCATCAGTGCAAGGGGGGACTACCCCCCGCAAACGGAAAGCTCCTCCACCACCTCGCTCTCCTCTTCAGGTACTGTAAGAACCATCTCAGTGGATGGAAAACACATTTTAACCACAACCCTGCCTTACAGTATTGCCAGCACATTTAACCTATATCGGTGGTAGCAATGTCTGTAATCACTGAAATGTCACCATCACACGTTGCATATGTGAAATGTTAAACCTGTGAGTTTTTTCATCTTCATTTTGTGACTCCCAGTTTTGGACCAGTTGACCTCTGTTTTACTATAATTAATTGGTAATGTATCTTAAAAGATTAAGTGAACAGTACCATCTCTGTAATGACTAATAAAGAGTTATTTGATTGTTTTTCCATCACAAAGATGCAGGGTTTGCCACCATCTCCACAGCCCCACAGTCCTGCTCCCCCTGCACAGTCCCCTGAGCCTCAGTCCCAGTCTCCTTCTCCTTCTCCCCAGCCTCCAGAAGCACAGCAATCAGCCCAGGTTGGCACCTGATAATTGGCTTGTCATAGTTGATGTTCACCCTTCGTATTACATGAAACGCAAACTTTGCTAGGTTGTCACAGTGTTTTGTGGCTGTCTCTGTTAGGCGGAGGACGAGGAGGTGTTTGAAGAGATCAGACGGCTCCGTCTGGAGAGAGGCCGTCTGCTCCAGAAGATCAAAGCCTTGGAGCAGCAGCATCAGAGTGCCATCTCTGCCTTGGAGGAGGTACTGCAGGCAAAAATGTTTCAGGATTTCATTTAAACCTGTTTCTATTCATTAGAGCTGTGTCTGCATCTGCATCAGAAATTATTTATGAAGACTGAGTGTTACTTTTTCTAACCTTTATTTCTTACACATGTGTGTTTGTGTTTGTGTTTGTACTGTAGCTGTCCGAACTAAAGCAGCGTCTAGAGGAGGCAGAGGCGGAGAGGGACAAGCTGCTTGAGGAGCTGAAGGGAGGTCATGGAATAGGGGTCAGTGACTCTGAGGACATGGATGAAATGTTGGACTTCCCAGGTATGTGATCTTTGTGTGCATGTACTTCCCCGGCCCTGGCACAGAGCATGCATGTACTTCCATGCATGTGTCCCTGTCACACCACATGGGCATTCCTGCATCTCTCATGTCAGGAAGTACACTGATTGATTTATGTTGCGGTTTCTCTTGAACTTTCCCTCTAGAGAAGCTGCTCTCGAAGCGCTCCAGAGCCTCCCCTGCTCAGGATGAGGCCACTTCTCAAGCAGACTCTGACTCAGCCAGCCCCTCTCCTGCCCCTGCAGACCCAGGAGCTGTTGCTGAGCTGCGTAAACAAATAGAGGAACTTAAGTCACAGAACTCTGAACTTGTTCTCAAAGTACAGGTGAGGTCAGGGAGTGCACAAATACACACCTGAACGCACCCACACTCACACCTACTGACACATATGCAGAGAAAAAATTCTCATTCGACTGACATGTCCCACCATAAATACACTAAACATGAACATAATCAACCTTTTCACTCTCTCACATGCAAACACACACACAGGCCTCTTTAAAGAGGATAAATTGATAGGGAGATGATGGTTCCCTAGCAGAAGATGAAGATGCCGGGTCAAGGCAGCTTGAGTGTCCCTGGCTGGAGCATTAGTCATGACCACTTAAATGTTATGACGCTGCGCTCTGGTACACTAATGCACTGAGGCAGTTGTGCTCATACAAGTATAAATAGAACAACACAACATCAGATGCAGACATGGGGGCATTTTGTAGTCATTCTTCACTAACTGGGTCATGCTGGTTGAAGCGCTGAAGTCTGTTTGAAGTATTCTGTTCTGGTGTGGTTGTTCATTCAGCGCTGTCTGAGCGGCAGGGATCTAGGCCAAGAACTTGAGTTCTTCTCTGCTGAGTGACAAAGAACCAGATAGGAAAGTGGGGAAATGTAAGGTCGGATAGGAGAGAAAGGAGAGATTGTATCTGTGGAAAAAGGTTAGAATTAAGCTGGAACCAAACCTCCTGTTGTCATTTTCTGTATATGGTGGATATAGTGACTTAAGTTAATTAAAGGGAGTCCCTGGGAGTATCGTTTCGCCTGTGAAAACAATTGTACAATTTCTTCTTTGGACTTTAGTTTATAAATAAATTATACATTTAAAATGGAAGCTCTTTGTCACAAACTGGGGGAAAAGCAGGAAGGATGCAATGAAATGATACTATCAAGTTTCATCATGGGAAATGTAGTATCGACTGTTTTTAGAGCTATCAGCATCGACTGATAAACTGTACAAGGCATCCTAATGAAAGGTGAAAACCTCCATAAGCTACTTTAATTTCCTCTGTGTTGTATACAGATGCTGGAGATGTTTGAGAAGGATGACACAGACATGCAGACCGCCAGCACGGACTCCGTCCCCTTAGCTCAGTATGAGACCTTGAGGAAGGAGTTTGAAGCCCTTCAGGAGCGATTGTCCCTGGCCCAGGCTTCAGAGGAGGCCTCCAGCGTGGCAGAGCAGTGGTAAGACGGATTCAGTTATTCATTCATTCAAACTGATTTACCACTCGTAAGCTGAAACAGCCAACATGGTTCACATTCATTATGAGATGTGCACACCTTTGCTAATATCAGCTCCAAAACTCAAAATCAGGGCCATTTTTAAAAGTGCTGAGCATTTGTATTTTTTCCTGCAGCATGCTGGAGGCTGAGCAAGCTTAGATGCTAAATGGATACTCATGACAGCATGGATTTGTTGGTTCCTTTACCTGTTTTTCATAATATTTATTGTTTCTCCAACATCATTGTTGTTTATCTCCTATTCTGAGGAATTAATTATATTTGTATTAAAATAAACTGTATGTACGACAGGTTGCAGTTGTATGCTTCAATAATCCAGTGTTAATGTGATGTAATGGTGAAATGATTAGTTGATTAATGAATACATAGGAAATTTACTATCAGAATTTATTGAGCAAAATGCAAAAAATATTTTTTTTTCCAGTGGGAATATTTCTTTGTCTTTTTAAGTTTGTAAAATGATTATCTTTGTTTTTTTTTGGACAAATCAGGCAATTTGAAGACATCACATTTTTTATACTGTTTTCTGATTGGTAAAGACTAAATCATTAACTGATTAATCAAATAAATAATTGTCAGATTATTACACAAATGGAAATAATTTAACTGTAGAATTAGTTTGATGCTAAATATGTATTTTCATTGATGTGATTGATTTGTTCAGTTACGTTTTGCAATGTTTGAGGGATTGATAATGCTTGTCTTGTTTTGCAGTGGTGATGACAAGTCTCAGGAAGGAGGTGCAGATGCAGAGAGCGCAGAGGCTTTGAAGGAGAAGCTGCGTGGGTTGGAAGAGCAGTTGGCATCTTCCCAGTCTGAGCTGGAGGAGCTGAAGGAGCAGATGCGGCTTGGGGTGCTTTCTGTGGAGTGTGGTGAGGGGGATACTGTTGCGGCAGGTGCTGGGACTGAAGGCGGGCCGCGGGCTGCAGAGGAGGGTCCGAGCCAGGAGGCACAGCAGCTGAGAGCAAGGGTGACAGAGCTAGAGGCGGAGCTTGCGAAGAGACAGGGCGGGGAAGGGGGTCAGAACGGCCAGGACAGTGACACAGTCAAACAGCTGACAGAGAAAGTGGAGGACCTCCAGGCTGCTCTGGCCCAGAAAGAGTCTATGAATGTAGAGGGGGAGAAAGACGGCGAAGGAGAAGAGTCGGAAACAGTGAAGTGCCTCCGTGACAAAGTGGCTGAGTTGGAGGCGGCCCTGGCAGAGAGCAGGATATCGGGGAAAGAGGGAGGAGCAACGAGAGATGGAGATCAGGTCCGTCGTCTCCAGGAGCGTTTGGGAGAGCTCGAGGGGCAGCTGAGGAAGAGTGTGCCCCGTTCTGATTTGGAGGAGGTGCAGGTGACTCTAGGGCTCCAGTGTGAGCAGCTTGCCAGGGAGAGGGCCGACGTGGCTAGAAGGCTCAACGATGCCCTCCTGGACCTGGAAAGACTCAGGCCTCCTCTGCGTGCTGATGATGAGGAGGAGGAAGAAGAGGAGGAGCACTCAGAGAGCTCAGAGCCCTCAGTCATATCAGGTGTGTAGTGTCATTTTTTTTTTTTCAAAATATAAAATATTCTGTGTATTTAGTTGTTAGTCTTGGACTCTTCTGTCCCTTTTGTGAGTGAATGAGCATGCCTCTCTCCAATCAGAGCGCACCAGACGCACCTTGGCAGCAGTGAGAGAAGAGCTGGAAGTGGCAAGACAGGAAGCAGCCCAGGCTCTGGATTGTCTGTGTGCAGAGCGAGAGGGCCGGGCACAGGACGCCCTGCAGCTGAAAGATGCGGTGGCGCTCTCAAAACACAAGGAGGCGCTGTCCGCAGTATCAGAACAGCTAGCTCAGACACTGCAGGAGCTCCAGGAGGAGAAGACCCTTCGTAGCCACGCTGAGGAGCAGGCTGCCGCACTAGAGGCCAAACTGAAGCCCATGCAGGACGCCATACCCAGAGAGGAGCATGAGAAAATCAAGGTCAGCAGGGACATTCACAAATATAGAGGATTGGAGGGACAGACTCAGAGGAGAGGGGCTAGCTCATTAGCTCATTAGCTGCAACACAGTGTCTTAAGAAGATACAGTGTTGCCACTACTACATTTCAGGCCATTTCTCATTGGGCTACATGCTTTTGGTTCAGGTAAGAAGAGTCACCAAATATGGCCTGTCAGATTTCTAGAGCCCCATACCCCTGGGTGTTGCCCCTGAGTTGATGTGTGATTATCATGAAGTAAGTTATCTACCATTTTGAAATGGCTCAGTAGAATTAAACTAAAGCTGAAGATTCACTAGGGAAATGCTTGTCTGCTCTAAATAAATAAGGGAGTTCACCTCAAATTGGGGTAAAAAGCATAAGTAAGTGGGCTGCACATACTCTGGTACATCACAGTAGATATAGTAATGTGAAAAGGCATGCAGACAGACAAATGTAATTGCATTTCCATCTCACTTAGGAGTACATTTTGCGAACAAATTTGCCATAAACTTTCCAATCATCACTGAACAGAAAGTTATGATTCGTCAGTCTTTGCTTCTTGCCTCACAGGCAGAGCTCCAGCGCTCCCTGCAGGTCAGTGCGAGCAGTGCAGCAGCAGCACAGGACGCTCTCACTGAGAAGGAGATGGAGCTTAGAGAGCTCAAGTCCCAGAAGGCCGCAGAACAGGGTCTGATCTCTAAGGAGGACCACGAGGCCCTACGGCTCTCTTTGCAGGCTGAGATCAACGCCATCACCGCTCGCTTCAATGACCTCACCCGCAAACATGAGAAGACCTGCACCGAGGTGTGTGTGCGTGTGTGTGCGGTGTGTGTGCGTGTGTGTGCGTACGTGCACGCGTGTATGCATGTGTGTTATTGTTTCTGGCTTCTCCAATCCCTTCTAATGCTATCTAAAGCCACATTAGATGTTATTGTGTCTGCCACAAAGTGAGCCATGTTCCATGAAGGCCTCTTTCCTGTCTCTACATTATTCATATGTGTGCTACTTTCTCTATTCACTACCTTGCTCTGTTTCATTGATCCCTCTGTATATGTGCTTACTGATGTGCTGAAGTGGGGTTACATTGCACTATAGGCTCCTGATGTCCAAATGTCATTTCTCTCTTCACCTGTGCATTCAGATATAAATACTCTCACTTTGTAAACTGAGTAATTGCCTCTCCAATTCAGGTTGACAAACACAGAGAAGGGGTCACATTGTCACACAGAGAATGATATCTTCTAATGGCGTTTTATGTATTTCATAAATTGAGTCCGGCTCAAAGTAGAGGGCATTTTATTACAGATATATGGTCTCTTTAGCACCCAATCATTAAGTGCTGGTAGGTGCTTAGACACACCCTTGTATGTAAGTTCCCTAAAACAGAAACACATTTGAATATGATACCCAAGGCAGATGTGTGTAGATTTACTGTGGCTTGGTTTACTGCACTGCAACCACAGCGTGAGTGTATGAAGATCAAAGAAAGAACCGTTACCAAGGGAAATTCCCCTGAGCAAAAAAACAGACAAAAATGGTTGTGGGAATAGGCATTTTGAGGGAGAGATATTTTAGATTTTACAGAGAAAATGAAAACATTTCAAAACAAGTCATACAAGACAAAGTATAGCTTGAGATGCATGGTAAAGCCAATCAAACAGCAATTTAAATATCTCATTTACTTAAAGTTCTACACTATATAAGCAGAAAAGATCTGAACTGGTAATATGACCAAACAGATGGTATTATTTACACAGGGTGTTATTGGTGGTTTCACTGGTCTAGGTGTTCCAGGTGCAGAGGGAGGCTCTCTTTAACAAGAGTGAGCGGCAGGTCGCTGAGTCCCAGCTGGTCACAGTGCAGCAGCAGCTTTCTGAACTGCAGGCGCAATCCAGCCACATCCAGGAGCTTCACAAGGACATCCAGGAATCCCAGGGCCTGGTCAAGGAGAAAGACCGTAAGGTGAGAGATTGTAGGGCTAGTTCAAACAACTGCTGTTGAAGCACCTATGAGCTGACCAAACTGACGTGTCTGTCTTTGCGCAGATAACAGAGCTGTCCAAGGAGGTGTTCCGGCTAAAGGAGGCCTTGGGAGCTCTCTCACCTCCTCTCGGCATCACGTCCTCCTCCTCATCCACCCATCATGGTAACCCTGGGCAGCAAGTGGCACTGCAGAACAGAATTTCTATACTCACCCAGCAGCTCCAGGTGAGGAGAGGCTTGACACAAGGGATATGTAAAGTGAGATATCACCATCTATAAAGTGCCATCATCTGTAAAAAGAAGAAAAAAGAAAAAAAAAGATTAAACAAATGTTCATGTGACAGTAAAATTGTTTTGCAGGATTGGGAGAGGAAGCACAAACAGGTGGTGGCTGTATATCGCTCCCATTTACTGGCAGCTGTACAGGTCAGTTGAATGCACACATACACACCAGAGCACAAATTCAGACTTAAACCTTTGTTATGAGACCTTTTCTTGAGGATTTCAGTGTGTGTAAGTGTGATTATGAGTGCTGGATCAATTCAGTTTTTCTATGTGCGACTGGCTGGACGGACACTTATAGTCCGGACTGTGAATGGCACTGACTGCTGAATTTGTCCCCCTTTGTGGTGTAGACAATAAAGAGTGGGCAGGCTTAGTCCACCATCTCTGCTTACCAGACGGTGGATGAAATTTCAAAGGAGATGTGGGGGGGAAAGGGGGCTCAGCTCACTCTCTTGTTCTATCAGTTCCATCATACACAAAGTATAATGTTGTAATGTTGGTTCTAATGAGGGATTATTGATGTTGTTGACCTTTTAAGAGAACTGTTGGCTACTTAGTTTCTTCCTCTTTGTGTTTTTGGCTGATAGAAGCTTTTCAATGCAGACCAGTGCATGCTTTGTGCTTGAACTTTTCAAGCCTCTCTTTGATATGGGACAGGGCTGAGTGTGGGATAGGCTGCACAGTGTGGTTGATCCCTACTCCTGGTAAGTCTGGCATTGACCAATGTGCTGCAAAAGGTTAGAAGTTTAGTTTTTGTAGGTCACTGTGTGTCACTGGCCCCTCTTATTGACTCTGCTTATATAGGAGGGTTGGAGTTTAGCTTGATATCCAGAATGATTGTCAGTTTCTAAAAACCTTGGTGCTACTGGTGGGTCCTATAGAGCCTGTTAGGGGGGCTCTTTCTGAGTTTATGCAACAAAGATTAAAATGCCGTAACTTTACATTCTTACATCATTTTCTGTTGCCAAACAGGGCCGAATGGATGAAGAGGTGCAGGGTCTGCTACTCCAAATCCTGAGGATGACACAGCAGGGACACTGAACCGTAAAACATCTGCAAGTATCTCTACACCTCCAGTCCCTCTACAGGTCAGAATAAAGCATCTCCAGCACAGCAACCTGTGGGACCAGTATCATAAAGATCCCATCCAGAAAGCCAAATACAACTGATCTGTGATCAGACATAGCTGCATGCGTACAATACAGTAACCTAAACAACAGCCTTAAGGATTGACTGATGACCAAGCAGTGAAAAAACAGAACTGTGGAGTGCCTTCATTACATGTCAGGGGTTTGTGGTGGCAGAAAGTGAATGTGGATGCAGAGTGGTTATTTAGAAGATAGAATCAGGTGCACTGATTGTGTGACAAGCTGAATGATTTTATATAATATTGTTATAATAAAAAAGAAAAACAAATTGTTCACCTGTTGATCCCGTTCTTTGCAACTCACTTCATGCACAAATACTGTTGATTGAGCACACAAAAGCTTTTGAAAGCCGCGGCTTCCACACTGTGCCTCACATCTATTTATGGGTGATGGAAATCTGAAGTCTTAATTTGGCTGTGACGTGTGTATGGGAGGTCGGACAGCTGGGTTCACTGTGCAGCTGCTGCATTAGCTAGCGAATATGAAGACTCACAAATGACAAGATACCATTTGAATTTCTTTCATTAATCTTTAATTAACTCTTTAATTAAATTTATTGACAAAAAGCCAATAAGGTTAATCAAAGAAGAAAAAATCCAAGAAATTCCTGAGAACGCAAAAGGGGAGATCTGAAAAAATGACAGTAATCATTTGGACCTCACCAAAAGCCTTGTAGCTCATCTCATCTCTGTGCATTCATGAGGCTGTGGCTAAGAACAGCAGAGGGCCTGATTAAAGATATGTTGAAGATGACACAGAGAGAAATGCAAAAAAGAATATGACCTACCTCTAGTAAGATTTAAAAGTATCAGATTGGCAAAAATAGGGTAGGAAATGTCAGTGTAGCCAAAGAACAGAAAAAAGACAAGCAAGTCATTGAGATGTACAGACACAGGCGTTGGGATAAGGACAATCAATAAACTGATGTATTTCCCTGAGCCGGGACAAATAAAGGATTTCATTTCAAGTCCAAATCCCCTGTCTTTAATATCACTGCAGAGCATCTATGGCTTGCTTCAAAGAAAACAAAAAGATGAATCTAGGAGAACGTTCTAAGGGATACACATAAAGACAATGACAATCATGACCACAATAAGACAGTATTAAACGAATATTCACCCCAAAACAAGAGCAGCTTAGATTACTGTTCACAAGTATAAGAGCTTAATCATCCTGAAGTTTGTTCAGTCATTCATTGGCATGGCAAGAAAACTAGTCTTTTGCATTAGGAGCATAAATGCACATTATATACACTCTGACACAAATGCCTGTCTCTGTAGTTATTAAGGCACTGAAGTTGGAGGGGCTGGGGAAGTAACAGGCATGGATATAGTGTGTGTGTGTGTGTGTGTGTGTGTGTGGATGTAGTATTCATTTGAGCTCAGAGTACAGTCTGACCAATGGTTTCCACAGGACTATACAACACATACAGTATGTCTTTAACAAATTATGAACAGCCCTTACAAACACAACACAAACGACTGATACTCACGGTAAATGCGTTAAAACCGCTTTCAAGACAGTGTGTTTTATGTTCACTTGGCTGTCTACATGAAGATATAGTACGACTGCATGATTTAAAAAGTGAGATTTGGTGCTTCGATTATTATGGAGAAAGCAAAAAAGACAGTAGAATGCGTGGCTTTTTTATAAATCCAGCACTGAATCATGTTCAGTGTGTTTCCATTGTGCCATCTCAGAGTCAGGTACTGCAGCCCTGTGAACATGTAACAACAACCACTCTTTACAGTCCAATGAAACAGATATTCCATCAACTGTCTTTTGTAATTGCAGTATTTTCATTTCTTCCATTTATACTGAAATGAACTACTGAATATGGAACCTGATGTCTTTTGTGTGTTTTTTTTTTGTTGTTGTTGTTGTTTTTTCATATCTGCACCAAGTAACAATTGACAGTTTTGTTCTGGTGATTGGATCTTAACATGACAGTATTGTTCTGTGGAAGCACATCACTATTACAGGCATTGTAGGACATTTCTTCGCTGTGCAACAAATCCTTATGTGATTTCCTGAAGGTGGGTCCTCTCCGAACAGTCACAGTGGTTGACATTAACCAGCTCCGGGTTAAGTCAAACTGTGGATTCTGGTGGAATTGTTAGCTTCATAGCTGCATGCTGAGGAGTTTATGACAGATGAGGGATAGTTTGGGTTGATCCTGGTAGGACAACAGGCGGAGAAAGTACAAGCAGATGTCAGATGCCTTACTCTCCTTGGTAGAGTTGCTCGTGGAAAGAAAGTGTGAGTCATATCCTTTGTTCCAGATAAATATCCATCACGGATAATTGATTTCCAGATACAGTTTTTTACAGTTTTTTTTTTTCTGTAGCTGCATGGGCACGGAAAAATTCTGCTCTGGAATAAGGTGGAGAAAGATTGATAGTTCAGTGATGGTGATAGAATAATCACATGTCTGACAGTAGATGAGTTGTCCATTACTGCATATATGAACCAAAATGTAATTGATTACCCCCACAAGGTTAAAAATAACCACCTATGTTTTCTTGAAAACATGCAATTTTCATCCAATGCACATTCAGTTCTTCTTACCATATAGAAGGCTGCCAATAATCTGAAGTCATCCTGCATCCCTGGTTACATTCATTTCCAATAATAACCATTATAAATGTCCTGCGTTCTTACCATCCCATGCAGAGGCAGGTGGCTCACTGTTTCCTCCTGACCACCTGTTTAAGGTGGAGCTCACTCTCTGCTGCAACAATAGGCAGCTCGTTCTTCAGATGATATGAGATAAGGTGGCTTATACTCTCAAATAACATGTCTTTGGTTCGGACCTGTGCAGAGAGGAAAGTACGAGATAGCAGGTGTAAGTAATCATGTTGACCACAAAGCTTATGATGGGATTTTTGTAAAGCCTGTTTGCCATATTGAAAGGTAATAGATATATTAAATGACAACAAATGAACTATGATCAATGTTCAGTGAATCCTAAAGACACCCACAAAGCAGTAATTACAAATCTTCATTTCATATCTTGCTTCACTGGCTTTTTCTGAACTACTATGACCTTTGATTGCTGGCAAACATAGTTTTGACAAGCTGTATCGCCTGCTATTAGACTCACCACTCCCTCAGGATCCACCAGCAGTAGGTGTTTTGGCAGGCCACAGTGCATGCCTGTTAGCACATACTGTCCCGGGTTGGTTGTGCTCTCCCGGACGAGGAAATCTCCGTCTCGGACCAGGAGTTTCTCTGCGTCTCGTCGGCTCATTCGGCTGTGGTACCAGGTCTCCCTGCGGAGCTGATCCTCGTTTGGGGCCACAGGGGCTCGACGGCGTGGAGGGCTGGGCCACTGGTCCTCCAGGATCCGAACGCCCCCCCCCCCAGCAGCACCTCCAGCTGTGACGGATATGCTGGACCCAACAGCTCCACCACTGGCCTCGTGGAGCTTCAGGGCATCTTCAAAGGGCCCTACAGGGACAGCAATGTTTCCCGAATAAAAATATTTTCACAATATTCAACAAAGTGAAATTATCCTCACTATATCTGTCAGAATATGTCATTCTACACCTTAGGACTTACTCATGTCGAAGAGATCTTTCTTGGGACTGTCGGGTGCCCTGCCCCCTCTGTGTCCACAGGGCCCCTGTGCCAGTGAATCCAGGTGTTCCAGACTCTGGGTGTTAACATACTGATGCTCTTCATAGTCTCTGCTGCTAGATGGTTGGCCGTCAGCACACAGGTAACCATCTGACGTCAGACCTGAGACAGACAGGTGCGCTCAGTGCATTTCTGACTTCTGGCGGGACATGCAGAACGGTGCGTGTGTGTGTATAGTCATATGTGTGTAAATATGTGTGTGAAAATCTTTTATGTTTCTTATTTTTTGGGCCCTCTCTAATGGTTGACATCACAATTTGAAATATTTCCACAGACAATTAAGACCAGTTGCAGTATGTACTTAAGTGACTGTGTATTACGAATGTCATCTTTTTTTTCTTTTTTTTTTACCAATTGTATGTAGGAACCAATGAGAGAGTAGCTTCTGGAGGGCCCTAGTAGCTGAATGGTTACAGTGCATGCCACAAAACACCAAGGTCCATGGTTCAAGTCAATAATGAAGTATTAACAATAGTCAATACTTGAATAGAATAGCTTATTTATATTGTTTTTTCATGCTATAAAAATAAAAATAAAAAGATTTATCCTGAGGAACTGAGACCATTGCAGATATTTGTGGAAACAAATAGTACATGTTACCTGAAAAGAATGGTGTGGTCTCCACTAGATTCCTCCACAAAGATAATAAAAATCATTTCTCAAGATTAACTATGGTAATAATCCAAAGGGAATTCAGAGAATCTTGAGGACGCTCCAAACTTCTCTCCTATCAAAGCTGATGGACAACCTGAACCACGAGGTAAAGTCTATCTATCTAAAGGTCATCCTGATTAAAGGTCCCAACAATCCTAATTCTATCAGGTGATTCTAAGAAGAGTCCAAACACTGGACTTTTTATGCCTGTGCCAGATCGTAAGTACATTTAATTCAGGGCAAAGTGCAGGAATGAGAGAAATGATCAGTGAGAGAGGTGAAGAACAGCCTCCATGTGTAGAGACAATTTAATTACAGATCCATAGACATCTGACAAGACCATTGAAAAATCCCTCAACTTATTCTCTATTAAGGATCACTGTTTTCCTCACTAGGTAAATAAAGAACATTCACACCCAAACCAAATAATAAAAAAAATCTGATATAGATTTAATAAGTATCTTTTTAATCTCTTTCATCTTTAATCTCAGCTAATATTACCCCTAATAAGGCAATATTATCTTATAAAGTAGCTCTCTGGTATTTCAAAATAAAAGATTACAAACAATGCCCCTCTATAACAAACTGGTGTAAAAGGTTACAGGCAAGTTTTTTTTCTTGCTGTTATACCTGCTTTTTGCCACAGGGTGTCTCACCTGAGCTGCTGCAGGTCTCAGTGTCCCAGTGAAGCTCATAACACAGTTGACCAGGGGGATAAGATGCTTGCTCCCTTCTAGCTGGTGAGCTCATCTGCAAACACACATATACACATGAGGAATACATCCTAAATACATTTATGTCTCTATACCTGAATGGACAACCCTCTCATCTCTTGTCCGCACATTATGTTGTTTTGAAGCACTCTATTTGAAACATTAGCTACAGCATGTCACCATTTTGAACAAGCTGCAGGGAGAGAGACATGATTTCTCTCAACCGGTCAGCAACAGAGGACAGAGGACTAGATGTAATCATATCTGCCTTTGGCAATTACGGTGCAGGCATATCAGGAAGACAGTTATGGAGTATGTTTTCATGTTCTTGCCGTTTGCCTACCGGTAAACGATGCAGGGAAGGAGAAGCAAAACATAATAGTCACCAATTTATGAGGGAGATATCAAAGAGTTTACCTGAGTCTGGCTGTCATTGTCTGGTAAAGGATAGTTACTTAATACCTGATAAAGACCAGATGTAGCTTCAATTACATCTGTAATAACATTAGATGGTGAATTTGGGAATTTCACATCGCACATGATTCTTGGATGCTGTCTTAGTGCATCTCAAGCTTACATATTTGGCAGTGTTATATACTGCAGTGGAGGAGGAAGTATTCAGATCCTTTTAATGATACCTTTTTTAAATTCATTAATACATACAGATACACATTCTCTTCTCCTCAACAAACTTGTGACTTTTACTACGTTGCTTATAGCACTATTCCTGTTGCCATTTTTTATGGCTTCCATTTTTATTCATTGCACTTTACTCAACTTAACACTACTTACACTTTACTGTCTCTTACTGTCTGACTTTTCACTAATCTTTGATTGTTTTTGAGGAACATTGGAGAATTTGACCTCTCTCCTCAGCTACTTTTTCACAAAGGGACACAAACCAACAAGGTGTCAGCCACTTGTTATATCTTACACAGTGTGTGTGGTTACAGCTGTCAAATGAATGCAGTGGTGTAAAATGTACAATATTTCTTTTGGAAATGTAGTGCAGTAGAAGAATAAAGTTAGAAATAAAGTACCTCAAAACTATACTCAAGTACAGTACTTGAGTGAACTTCATTATATTCCCCCACTGCTACACTGCACAGCTAAGGCTACCATACCAGAATCCAGAACCTGACCCAACTTGACGTTCCAGGACACTCACCTGTGCTGCTGTCTTGCTCTGTGGCTGGGTGTGGATGTGACCCAGGAGGGCTCCACTGGGCCTGAGCCTGGAATCCACTACACCCCCAACAGGTGGCTCCTTCCCTGGGATGCTGTTGTAGTAATCATGCTCAGAGAAGTCCTCATCCTCCCCCCACAATGGCTCCTCCGGCCTGACAGACCTGAGGAGGCACATACATGTGAGTGAAAGTAAGTAAGTACATTAAAGAAAATACAATGAAAAACAGAAAACATGCCAATGTTTTTATTTCACTGTGCATGAGCATACTAACAGTATTATTACAACTAAATCAAGACCACTACTTCTATAATCAGAGCAAAAATAAATTTGATTATCATTGTTTTATTATTTTTTACAGCGATATTAATAGTAAAGATAATGATCAGGAGATCTAGGTTCTCAAATGGATCAGTTCAGATCAGATGACATCTCCACATCCGAAAGTGCTCTATATGATTCAGTTAGAGATTGATATCACTAGAGCTGGTGCTGATGTTCATTTGGAACCAGAACAGAAAGACCAACAGTCTGGAGTTCCTCCTGTCTCTACAGTTGCATCACTGCAACACCTGAAGTTTGGTCACATGGTGAGAAGATCTGTGAGGATCAGTATTAAAAGAATGGATTTTTGAGGTAACACAAGAACAAACTATCATGTCTCTCAGTAACAAATGAAAAAGTAATCTGAGAGCTGTACAGTAGATCAGGTTTTTGTGTTGAAAATTCCAACTAAGCTTTTTTTTTTTAATGTAGGATGCCTGGCCTGTATAGTGTCAAAGTATTTATATTGTCAAACTAAGTATGATCGATTATGCCAAGAAAGTAAACTTCCCCCACCTCCACTTCCCCCATGTCAATTTTCCTAAAACAGCATCTGATTTATATTGATATTTGCTGCAATTGTCTGTATTGTATTGTATTGTACACTGTATTTGCAGTGTTTGGTTTAACCTTGAGAATATTGCTGTACAGGGAAAGTATTTACAGATATTTCTTAGCAACTTGGTTCTGGTTACTGTGTATAAATAGGCTACAAATGTATGATTTAATAGTGTGTCACAACTCCATGGATGCCACAGAATTGAAAGACAGCACAAAAAAAAAAGTTTATATCTGTTCATAGAGGTTGTGATTTTGGCAGGACTGTGTTACCTCTCCACTGATGCCATAGTTTTGGGAGGACTGTGTAGATACTGTTTGAACTGCAGCTCGAAGGCCTGGCCGATGGTGCTGATGACACTCTGGGCTAAACCATCTGAGCACTCCAGGATATGACAAGCTGAAGGAAAAAAAAAAGACAAGAAGTTGTTTTTTTTCCAGCTGCCACATACTTTCAGGAGTAAGATCCTGACCTAAGATTAATCCCACTATGTTTATCCTATATGCTAATTTTTTCTTTTTTAACGGGGATGATATCTTGCTCAAAAATATTAGTAATTTATATTATAAAATAAAAATCGCAGTAGATGTCATAGTAAGGTCTACTCTCACATCCAGGATGACTTCATGGAAAAACTATTTTACTTCCAAATGAAAAAGAAGCTTTTCAGGACACACCTCTCTGATTCACCGGGTCTTTGGCCACATACGCTACATAATCAGGCGTGTCCTGCAACACACAAGAGGAAAAATTCAATTAGTCCTGATAAACTAGATGTACATTATTACATTAAAGCCTTCAGTGATTCTTGGATCATGAGATTGGAAAACAGTAAAATGCAATCCAGTAAGATATGTGCTGTCTGCCAAAATGTCCATTCCTGCAACAACAACGTGAGAGAGAGTTGGGAGTAAAATGCTGCACTCACTGTGTCTCCCCCAGAGGCAAATGAGATGGATTGCATGGGATGATGCGCTATCACCTGAAAGACACAAGTAGATAAATCAGAGGCAGAGGTTTGTCTTTTTGTTGTTGTTGTTATTTTATCGATTAACATGGATATATATATAGCAATGTAGATGGAAAAGGAGACAAGAGATGCCAAGATCCAATGAAGTAAAGGTTAAGGGGTTTGACAGATACAGGATTTGAACCAATGTCAACAATTATACCAACAATACATGTATGAGTGAAGCTGTTGGCAACTCACTAAACATTGTTCATAATAAAAAGAATTCTGTATTTCCACCAACATTTTATTCTGCAGGGGAAATTACTTTAGCAGTTAATTTACTCATGACCCATCACACCTATTTATTGGATGTGGAAACTCAGGGACAATTAAATGAGAAATTAATTCACGCATGTCATTATGAAAGTTGAAGGAATTCAGTTTTGGTCACAGAGGATCCTTATATACAGAATATCAGCTGTGGACAATAACATTTATTAAAAGGATATTTGGACAAATTTATCACTCTAATTTCTCATTCTGAATTTACAGTGCTTTAGAAGCATCTAACCTGTCGTGTGGTAGGGATGAGCAGACCAAGTCCGTCTATGGAAATATTGACAGCGATACTCATGCCTGCAAATCGCAGGTTACTCTTCCCCATAATGGACTGGAGAGCTTTGTTCACGGCCTGCATGAGAAAGATTACAGTGAAAATGATCATCACATATTTAAAAGTGTGGTTATTTCAGAAAAGGATAATGCCATCCTGTTTTTGTCAAGAGAGACAACCTGCATAGGGCAACAGATGAGTTTGTTTTGTCCCATTCAGTGATTCAGAGAGCGTCACACAAGCTGTCACGTGTACCAAAGTGACTGTCGTAGACACTGTACCCTGCATGGTAAATTTTACACATCTAGTTCTCCAGCAGCAACAATTTTAGTATAAGTGAGAATACCAGGAAATATTGCAAACAACATAAAGAAACATGCACAGTAGGATTAAAAGTTTACTATTAACCTTCTTCCTCCAAGGCCCCTTTCCTCCTGGCACAGCTTCACAGAGCCTGTTGATGGCTTCCCTAATTAACAAAATGAAGAAAGGTCAAAGGTCAAAATATAGTGGGAGACAGTGGCTAACGATCAGCTGGGTGCAAAGACATATTTATGATCTCGACATCATGTTGATTTATGGTTGCTGGATTGTTCCATGAGTATTGCTGAGATGAAAAGTTTTAGATGTTTAGCCCATGTATGTTCAGGGCTACACAAATTTGCTCCATCATGATGATGGAAAAAAACCTGAGGTTAAACATGAACAGAAGCTTTGTATTTCCTCCCTCGGGCTAAAGTCATAGGTCACAGACCCTTCACAGTTCAAAGGTCAAGAAAAGGTTTCCAGCAGGGCTGTTCACAATGTACTAAACTAGCTTTTAACACTGATTTCCATGGATCTAACAAAAAAAAAACAATCTTCGTCATCATCAGTGATTGTTTATCAAACTCATGTTTAAGTTCCCATTGAATTAGAGAAAAAAAAACACTATAATCTGATGCAAAATAAAGTGTCTGCATGTTTTCTTTAGAGTGTCTTTATTCACATTTATTTTCCACAGTGCAATTCACTCTGCAGATTTGTTACAACTTTGCAGTGAAGCTGCTGTAACTCCTGGGAATGGCTGTCTAATGGGCGTTTAAAGCCTCTGTCCCCTGTGGGTCTGATGGCAGGAGTGAGCCATAATGTGGATTTGAGGCTGGAGCACACACACTCTCTTTGCCAGGGGACAGCGGGGACAGCAGTCAAGAAGCCAGCTGCCCCTATCAAGTGGCTCGTAAATATTTAAAAAGCAGCGTCCCGGGCCCCATCTCGAGTAAAGGTCTTCTCAGGGATTTTTGACAAACACCACAATGTTCAAATGACTCATGCTGATGAGAGGGCAGAGGGAGGAGGAGGGGGAGGGGGAGAGAGATGGGCTGCTGTTGTTGTTTTTGTCTGCAGCCTCAGTATCTTCCCTGCAATAAAATGCTGGGCTTCATTATCACTGGTGTTGCTGTTTAACACCGTGACACACAGAATACTGTTGAGAGAATGAACCCTTTTCAAATCCAGGAGCTGAAGTATGTTTTTCTCTGACAACCACTGAAATGATTTGCAGTAGTTTTCCAGGACTCAGTTAAGTTATGTACAGCCAGCTTTCGATGGAAAATAAAGGCTCCCACTTTAAATTGCTGCTTTTGAATTTCAGGCAGCAACAGTTCACATGTTGTAGATATCCTATAAAGTTTTTTTTGGATCTATGAAGACAATCAATCATTGATTTTTGGACTTGTGGGACAGATGAGCAGTAACATGGTCCCCAAGGAATCAGAGTCACACGCCTCATGTCATTAGCATCACTAGAGAATTTGGAAGTCTGTTTTAAAGTAGCCTTTGACTAAATGCTTTATACAAGCTATTCAAAAAAAGGCCATAGTGCATTTGACAGAGGGTAAGCACCCTGAAAGTTGACCATAAAGGCAACAACCTCAAGGACACAAAAACAAAACAGATTCATCATCAATGCATGAAAAAATCATGATTACAAATGATGTCATGCAGTTAGTCATACAACCTAAATAAACCTGGTGTACACAGCTTATGCTTTGCATGGTTCCTCCCTTTGCTAATGTTTTGTTTTGCTGTTTTGTTTTGAACAACCCGCCCCCCCTTTAAGAAGTTACAGCCGCAGACATTATCCAACAGGGTGCGTTCATGGGGACCACTGCAGCTTTCCACAGTCATTAGTGAACACCATCAATAATAGATCCCTCTCACTCTCTCTCTCTGTATCACTCTATCTCTGCTGCCTCTACCCCCCTGCACTTAAGCCTTGGATGCATGGTGGGCTCCGATTACTAGCGATCGATTGTGGAGGAGAGAGAGGAGGGTGAGAGACAGATAGGAAGAGCGGGGGGAGTGTGTTTCTCCCATGTGGTTGAGGATTGCAAAGAACCCTGTTTGTAACAATAACATCACATGTAGGGTATAAAAAACACAAAGACACAAACATATTAAGACCCTGAGGTATAGGTTTATACATAAACATATCACGACCTGTCACACCAGTGAACACATACTGTGCAGAGTAGTTGTGTTTGTCTTTTAACTGGGACACGCAACACTGCAGTGCTGCCATCATGCACAATCTTGTGACTTTAGTTTGTGTTGATTTTTTTAAGATTTGCGTTGGTATTACATTTCCAACTGGTCGATCATGGTTTGGTAAAATAACCTTATAGAAATTCAAAACTGTGCTGTTGTCAATTAAAAAATAATGAAATTCTTCAACATTTCCAAAAGGTAAATTATTTTAAATCAAAGCTTGAGGTGAGACTTTATTTTGCTTATTACAGCAAAAGCCACATAACTAAGGATAATCCATCAAGTCAAAGGGACATATATGATAAGAAAATGAAAAGAAACACTCAATCTATGTACTGTACCAGCCCAGCATTGACACACCGCTGATAGCAATTGGATATCATAGCCGTTGGTACTTCAGTTAATCCTATACATCTTGGATCAAATTCTCCTGACTCATCACTACCAGTAGAAATGGTTACCAGCTTACCTCGTCACCTGAGTTCGCGTGTTGAAGTCCAGGGAGCGCATTGACTTCAACACTTCAATGCAGCCCATATACTGCAAAGAAAAACAACCCAAACAAAAAGAGTTACAACACGTTTCAAAATATGTCTGCAGACAGGTTTTGGTCCAGACTACATGCCCCTTTTTGACTAATGACCTGTGCATGTCGAGTGCTGTAAGTGCTTGTGGTGTGATATCTCCAAAATGGGATATGGCCTAAAAAATGAAAGCTGAAAGTGAACATAAACTTGCTGTAGCATATTACTGAAATTACCTGCTTTCTGAGGACCTTAACTAGCATAATAAATAATTATCTAAATGTTTAAAAAGAATAAACCTGTACAGCAAATACTGTATTTCAAGAAAAACTTTTCAAAATTGTTTTTTAGTACCATTGCAAATTATCTATTGGCAAACATGACTATTCCCAACAACACATAATTATCTAGCTCAAACAAACATTAAAGGCCATTAAAGTGTGATGCAGTGAGTGGCAGCCAGCTGAGCAGCTTCCTAATGGCTGCCAGGTTGAGGTGCTAATGGCACCTTGACTAGATTAGCAGCACTAAGAGCTCCAAATCATGGACGAGCTGTAGCTCCTTAGTCCTCTGGGGGATGCTAAGGGTGTCAGTGTGTGTATGTACTGCAAAAAATCATTGCATTTGAGGATGCTTTGTATATCTGTGAGGTTTAGATGAAAAGATTTAATGGTGACGGAAATCTACTACTTAATATTTCTGTTTGTAAAACAGTTGCATTGCCATCACCAGTAAATGTTTATCTGTATAGTAACATATAATGTAACATTTGTCTATTTTAAGTCTCATAAAATTTGGGATCTAATACTTTAGAAATGTAACACCTTGTCTGATTTGTAAACTCTTTGTGAAACCTATCTGGTGCGACATACAACTCACATCTTATCCACCCCACATTATTTTGGCTCAATCAATGTCGTGTTTTCTACAGTTATTACTGTACTCAGTATAGCAGACAGCGACAGACCACACGACAGCCACACAAACAAACACACACTCCAGAGAGAGAGAGAGAGAGAGAGAGAGAGAGAGAGAGAGAGAGAGAGAGAGAGAGAGAGGAGCAGAGAGAGAGAGAGAGAAACCTTTGAGTCTGAGAGCTTAATGAGCTTTCTAACCAGATTTGGAGACGGGGGGATGTCTTCCATCAGGAAAATTGTCTCTCTTTTTTCTTTCCCGCTCTCTGCCAATGCCTTCATTGTCACTCATTCATCTGCTGATGCAATGCATCCCCTCCTCTATCACGCTATCTGCACTTTTATCCTTTTTGGATAGTCCAAACTCACTATTCCTGTGACTACAGGAACAATGACTTTCCAAGAAGCATAATTTAATAAGAATGGCATCCTCTTTCAAACTTTCTTGCATCGTGGCTGCCTACTTTGAGATAAATCGTGGTCAGTTCATAGTTTGCCAATGTAGAAAATGTCGTAAACTAATTTTATTATCTAGTATAATGCAAGGCCAGACCAAGAAACATGCAGAATATGTAACAGTGGATGGACAGAGAGTGGTCAGATAATGAGGACCGCAGGATGTTACCAAACAGTACCTGAATGGTGCAGAGAGTAAATGATTAGTTTTTTGAACTTTGATGGACCCTAAGAAAACTGCACCCATAGCAACAGAAAATCATGTTACAGATTACAGATATTTATAATTTGATGGGGAAATAATGTGCACCAGATTGTAATGGAGCTGTATAAAATGATAGCTGTCTGGTTTTAATATAGCTCTTTAAATGATAGCTGCTTTGGCAGCTGCAGTTCTTTGTTTGATGGTTGCTGCAGTGTCCTGGCTGTCAGAGACGGCAGATGCGAGCCAGGCACAGAGCCTGACACGACTGTGAGGACAGAGTCAAAGTGTAAATAGGAAACCAATACTAAGAATCATATTTGTATCTTTCCCAGCAGAGAGAGTGTGTGTTTGTGTGGATGTGGATGTGTGGGTATGTGAAAGACTGAGTGAGAGAGAGAGAGAGAGGACAGAAATAGAGGGAGAGAGAGAGCTGGCGCTATGGTAGCTATGCTGATTAAAAATGGCACAGCGCAGCAGAAATCTACTGTCACTTTGACACTAATACATGCAGCAACTACTCCTCCCTGCATAGACTTACCACTGAATTGCACATATACCACCGCTTTGGGTGCCGTGAAATGCTTTTCAAACATTAGCTCACATGGCACTTCTAAAATGATTGCAGTGCACGTTCAGAGATGACAACGATAAGCTGTTAAAAGCTTAGTCTGATAATTAACTGAGTTATCAATCACCTATGAGAGCAGCACTTGTTATGAATCTAGGAAAGCTCTGCGTGGGGACGAGAGCTCATACGCACTCATCATTGGACCCCTCCCAAACTGATCCAACCGTCCTCCTCCACATCACATGATGCAAATGACTGATTAAATGTAATTGAATATAGGAATGAATGGTGCCTGTATAATGCCATTAGAAAGCATGCTTGGGCCCCAGACTGCACTAATCAAGAGCATGTCATTAGTTTGGGTGGGGGGGTCGGGGGAGAAGAGCAGTACAACGAGGGGCAGGAACAGGAGCGGGGGATCGCTAAGGGGAGATCATTGACATTGACGTCAAGCAGTCCGCAAATCACAAGCACGCACTGCTGAAGATGTCTCTTCAGAACACTTAATTATCTGTTTGGTTTATAATCAACGAACTAACCCTCAGTTTCTTTATGTAGCCTGATCTTATTTTCATAAAAACACAGAGTTTGTGTAATATTTACAAACATCACTCAAGCTGACTATAATGATGCTAAGATTGGGATTCGCTATGCTGAGGGATTGTAAATTACACTTTATGGACAAAATCTTAGGGTCTCATTGCACAAATGAAATGAATGTAAACAATCCCAAAACCACACAAAGAGCACCACTCCCACAAGCTTACGGTGGGATCTTACAATCAGACACAGGTTAAATGCACTATAAATACAGATGGTTATTGTTTGAAGTAGTGTATGATGCATACAACCTATGGTAAACAGTGCTGCAGAATAACAATCCTCACTACAGTCTGAACACATTATTTCATGGTTTATCTTTTTCCACCATGATGTCTGTTTCTGCTATCCTCCTGACGCAGTCTCCCCACCAGCCACACCAAGTCATCTATCTGGATTAAATTATGTATTCCCCAGCCCTCTCCACATGAGCTGCATAACAAACTGCCTGGCACTGTGGTGTCCTTTTGTTTCCCACCCAGGCATAGAAACCTAAATGGGGTCATCAATATTATGGCATTCACAGGTACCTGTGAGAAGACAGTTGTTTATTAATGTGCACCTGGAAAAGTTTTTCTTTTTCTTCCTTTTAAATACAAAAAGACACAAATTCTGAATGAAGTGAGTGTTTAACTTCTTTTACAATGAATAAACAGTATGCGTTAAAAACATGTGGCCAGTGACTCACCCTGACAATATAAGAGGCACCTGGTCCTGCAATCTTCTTGTCAGGGTGCAGCCAGCCCTGGGAGGGTTTGTGGATGAAGCTGCCCTTCTGGTTGAAGTCTTCTCCTCCCAGCCACATGCCCTCCACTCTTGTCCTGCGGTTCATTCCTGACCTGGAGCTGCTGGAACCACCAGGGCTCGCCATGACCTCTGTGGCCCCAAATCCGTGCCCCCCTGGACTGGCAGAGTTTGCTGCTGCTACTGCTCTCTGCCCCCGAATGGCCTGTAGGGAACAGGGGGTGACACACACAGGGTCACAGGAGTTGAGCACTGCTGCAAGACTGGCCACTGGGCCACTGACTGAGGTCACACCACTGGGCCTGTGTGATGTTGAAGACGGGGAGACAGAGGCCTGGGAAGACGCTGCTGCTGCCTTGCCAGAGTCTTTGCTAGAGCTGGAGCTGGAGCTGGAGTTGGACGGGCTCCGGCTGAGCAGCGAGTTGGAGAACTTCCACTGGGGCATCTTAGGGATGAGCATGCAGAAGGTTGTGGTGGCATCCTGTTCCCCATCCAGGCAAGGGGAGTCAGCCAGGGCTGTAGCCCCAGCAGAGGAGGAGGTCCTGGTACTGGGATCCAGAGGAGGCAGAGGAAGGCTTGGGGTGGAGGAAGGGACTACCGGTGTGGCCACAACTTTGCCACTCATGGCTAAGCTCTGCATCAGGTCGTCGGAGGAGGTCACAGACTCGTTGCGAAAGCGGCCATACTTTGGCTTAAGGAGCATGCCCGGAGGAGCCGCCTGAAGCAGGACCTGAGAGGGGGGATAACTGCCACAGGATGAAGGGGGGGAAAGGGGAAAGGGGGAAGGGAAGGGGAGGGGGGAGGTGTGATGGAAGAGGGGGAGAAAACTAGAGACAAAATCTTCCAGGCGGAGTCCTATATCCTTGTCAAAGTCAACTGAATGCTGTCTGGTCCTCTCCCGTTCACGCACACACACTGTCCCACTCTCATACCGCTCTCCTCTCTATCTGAGATGGCCCTCTTCCTTTCACTGCCTTAGGCAAGCTCGCTCTTATGCTCCCAGTCTCTCTCTCTCTCTCTTTCTCTTCGGATGATGTCATTGGGTCTATTAGCCCTGCCCTGCCCAGCTGCTCTCAGACTATATTAGCTAAAACACATCTGCCTGAACAACCCTGCTCGCAGACACACACATTCGCACACTGCAGAGCACCTATTATTGTGCATAAAGGACATTCAGCACATTAAAAACACGTCAGTATAGAGTATCTTTTGGAAAAATTGTATGATTTCAAGTCTCTGACTGAACAAAGCTGTTATTGTATAACCTGAGACAATAAAAGAAAGCAATGATAATGAGGTTACATTTAAGGTTGCATTGCTTTTAAGTTAATCAAAGCAAAGCCAGTGCTCTTTTTCTCAATTTTTAACTCACTCTCAAGACAATACATACAAGAATATTTCACTTCAGTAGGAATGTACACAAAAATAAACAATATTTTGTAACAGTACACACTGATATGACTATATTCAAATACAAATAGAAATATTAACAGAAGAATTGATAGAGAATAAATACAGGGATGAATGTCATCCAATTGTCAGGGTATGTGGTAAGTAGGGGTGGACCCAAAATGCAGCCAACACTTGGGAGACGGTGCAGACAGGTTTATTAAACAAAAGAACTTAAAAAACAAGCACAGGGAACCACAAGGAACAGCAGACCAAAACACGAGAAGCACAGGGGATGACAACAGGCAACATAAACAGACTAAGGACAAACCGGACATGAACAGCTTGGGGACGAACCAGACATGAACAGGCAACGCGACCAGATGATGACAAACCCAGAGATAAACAGACGAACCGACACAGACAAAGGGGAGCACAAAGACTATATAGACACAGGAGGCAAGGGTGATTGCACACAGGTGAAACACATTAGGGTGGGGCAGACAATCACCACACAGAAACAGGACCAAGACAGGAAGCAAAAACACTGACACACAAGGAAACCAATTACAAAATAAAACAGGAAGTGCGAAAAGTCCAAACAAAACTAACAAAAGGTGTCTGCCATAGCAAACCATGACACCAGTTAGTTTAAGTGTATTTTGTGTGAGTCGAAAACTTAACAAAGGACACAATGCAGCCACACTCATAAGGGACTATGTGTCTGAAAACATCCACCCTATCCCATCTGTCTGAATTCTCTTCCAAACTTCCCTCCCACCCGCCTCCCCAGAGAGCAATCAGCCATCTCAGCACGATCCTTTGAGCCCCTCAACTCCACCCACCCTCATGCCTTTTTCCCGATTCTCTGTCAAATCATTTTTACTCCCTTTTTTTCCCCCAATTTCTCTCACAATTGTGTTTTCCCATCTTGCATACAGGTAACATAAGGTATGCAACAGCAGTCAAGGTTCTGAGAGTGAAACACAAAGTGGGTTAAGCAGGGATTTACACCACACAACTTTTTTTTTTCCATTTTGTGGTGGTCCAATTGTGTTCATAGGTAAGAGTGAATACAAGGTATTGAAAAATAAAAAAAAGACCACAAAGGTTACTCAATTTGTTGGGAAAATAAAGAAGAGAAAACTGACATTAAATGTTATAACGACACAAGAAAAAACTCAGTGGTCAGAAACAAGTGGTCAGAAACTCAGTGTGCAAACAAACAATGTCTGGAATGATTGTGAAATAACCCAATAGCCAGGGTCATCTGTTACCCACAAAGGAGGGGTAATGCACTGACTAAATAATGCCACCTACACAGACAAGGAAAAGCTCATTATGTTCCTGTCAATAGCTTAAATTCAATCAAGCAAGTCATTACGATTTGTTTAGTCCCATAATTAGTCTGGACAGTATAGTGTCTTGTTTTCTTTCCAACAAAATGTGACTCACTAAACAAAATATGACTCATTCAAAACAGTACTGACCAAAATATGAGCAAATTCTACACTAAATGTATTCACAAATGCATCAAAGGCAGGAAGCTTACCTATATGTCTGGGTCTGAAGAGAAAAAGGATGAAAATAAGATCGAGCCCAGTAAACATCCAATGACTTTTATCAAAGATAAGCTATGGTTGAAAATGCAAACAATTTAATTTCACTAGTCAGGAAACCCTATAACAACTGAAAAACCCACACACACAAATAAACCACACTCAGATTCACTATGACACCACCACCACTGCCATCCCACCTTCTCTCAAACAGCCAATCACTTCTTGTTTGTTTGCTACAGGGTATAAGAAGTTACTGATAAACCAGATGTAATCGATACATTTTGACAGACGTAGCTGGCCTTCCTCAGTGCACTTTTTTCCTGACAAATAATAACTGCACTGACAACAGATGCAAAATAAAAGAGATAGGCCTATAAATGTATTTCTACAAATCAATCTGAATTTTAAACAAATGATAGTGGTATGAAAGTGGTACTAGGTTTAATTTTCATAAATATCAGTTATCTGATTGCACCTGATGTTAGATTGCATTTTCAATCACAACTATACTATGTTTCCCCGTATGTGAAGAGTTAACATATTTACCCCCTGATTTGGTACTTTGCATATACAAGTGGAACAAATCATGCTGTGAATACACCACCACTCATTAGCAGCTGTTACCTTGACAACAGTGATTACAACTTAGAAAAACAACACAGCTCACCTGCAGCGCAGAAACCTAAAACTAAAGAGTTTGGTTAAAATATAAAAAGAGTTTGTTCTTGCAAATCATTGACTGAGAAAAGTAATACTATGTTTATGTAAAGCCTAGAGAAAATACAAACGATGACTGACGCATTTCTCACTGCCTGTTATGTCACAACAGTAATGTTGAAATTTCATAAAATGTATTGAGTCAATGGAAATGTCTAAAATAGAAATAAGACAATAATCTATTTTGACATTACGGAATAAAGTCCAGTTATAGTCAAATATTGAGTGACAAGACAAATTTCCCTTCCTGTCCCTGGATTGGATCAAAATTGAAATCCTTAACATAAAAATTTCACTGTATCTAAGCATAACTGAATACATAACATACATTATTGAGGGATTTTCATTATTTTCTTTGCCTTAAATCAGCCAACAACATTATTGACAAAATATGATATATAAATATTTTAATAAGACATGCTCCTACAAGAAATTATGGTCATTGTTATTATCATTATCATTAAATATATATTATATATTTTACTCTACTGACATAATTTTTGAAGACCAGACTAAAGGCAAAGGAGACCCCACAACAAGCAAGAGCTGAAGGAGGCTGCAGTGAAGCCTGGGAAAGCATCACCAGGGAAGATACAAAGCATCGGCTGATGTCTATGGGTCAAAGACTTCAGGCAGTCGTTGTCTGCAAAGGATTTTCCACAAAATATTTTGTTTGATTTCATGTGTATCTGTCCAATTACTTTTGAACCCCTAAACTTTAGGCACTATGTGTTAAATGTGTTATACATGTCCCACACAATTATTTCTATACAGCTGTAAACCTACTCAAATAAAGCTAAAATTGCCACTTCAATGTAGTATCCATTATCTCATTTCAAATTGAATGTGCTTAAGCACACAGCCCCTGAAGAACAACATATGCACATACTTGAGGTCTGGACTGTAGCTCTGATACAGCCCAGATCGTTTTACTAATTTCTAACATTTTAAATCTTTTACTTTTTATGGTACTTTGAAGGCAAAGCTAGCGTCAAACTTAAAAATAAGGATATAACAAATCAATTTTTTTTTAAATTATTATTATTTACTGAAAGCTGTCAGACAGGCCTATGTAGGGCTACATGATGTTGAGGTTCTGTGACACAACAGCGTTGGAGCAGCAGACACCCTTTTCAACCACCAGATAAGTTGGACCTGCAATGGCAGCTAAGCTAGTCAGATGCTAGGTGACAGAGCAATAGCCCCTCTGTTACCTAAGTGGGTTACTTGTATCTGGTTGTTTGTGCATGTAACGTAGACGTTACAGAACTTCCTGAAACACAGCTGTTTTTTTCACTACTGCTGTGTACACCAACATAAAGCAGGAGAAGGTGGAGTTCAGTGAACACCCAGTTTGAAAATTAGCTTTATTTTATTGGCATTTTTCACATACTGGAGACCACGTGCGCAAACATCCCGACGTCGAGGGCAGGCAGGGTTGCAACGTAGCAGAGAGAACGAAGAGATGAAGAGCTCTCACTGAGCTCCTCATTTCGCTGTCAGAAAGGTTCTGGCGAAAGACCAGAAACGTTTTCAACTAATATATTTGATATCTTCCGTTCAAACGACAAAACGTTCAAAAGACTTACTTGACCTACGTGACTTAAAACCAAAATTTAAGATGACAGCTGAAATTTAAGTTTTTAAAAAAATTTCCAGGAAAATAACACCCACTGTTGCAAATAATTTTTCCTCGCTGTGCTTCCGGAGCAGAGTGCTTCATCCTCTCAAACATAGACGATTTGGGGGAGGGCGGGTTCCTGCCTTGGCCAATCCGGGGAATGCGGGGAGCCGTTGGGGTTTGAATCGTTGTCTGAAAACAGCGGCAGATGACAGCAGGCTGTTGCGCTCGTAAATCTCAGGAGAAGTAGGCTAACTGTTTAATATCACCTGAAAACAGCTTTCCGGACTTCAGCTTTGACTGTTATCGTCGACTGAAAATGTCAAAAAAACAAATTTACTATTCAGACAAGTACAACGATGAGGAGTTCGAGTACAGGTATGATTATCGACATTTGCTAACGTTAACGTTTTCAGAAGTCCGTTATTTTTGGTTGAGTGGCTAGTTAGCTAACGTCAAACTACGGTAAGATTAGCTTGGTTAGTTACGAGGTTCAACATAACTTTAACGACTGTTGAAACGTCGTCCTGGTATGGGTAATCTAGTAAAAGGGAGCACCGAGTATATTATTTAGTTTAGCATTACCTTAACATTCGCAACTTGCTAATAATACTCAAAACAACTTATCGTCCACTTATCAGCTACCCATGCTAATTGTTATTAAAAGTGGCGTGGTTTGAACGTTGAGGGGCTAACGTTAGATTACTGCAGCAGGTTTAATGTAAAAAAAACAACAACTAACCCTTACATTATATCATTATAAACTGAGGCTTCAAGTGTTAATGTTGCATTAGAATTACCTGAAATTGACGTTAAGTTACTGCTTCGCCGTCCTTTTGCAAAATAGAGCTATTGTCGGTGCTCTGGTGGGTCATTCTTCAGTTTTGTTATTTGTCTTCACATAGGCATGTCGTGCTTCCAAAGCAGCTGTCTAAACTGGTGCCCTCCTCCCACCTAATGACAGAAGAAGAGTGGAGGGGACTGGGGGTGCAACAGAGCCAGGGCTGGATTCACTACATGATCCACAAACCAGGTAAGTGACCATGGAATTTAAAGATAGGCTCTCATCTTAAAACAATACTCTCATGTAGATTGAATGAGCATACTGATTGCTCGAGTCATTCCTTTAGTTCATGATCAGAAGGAAATGCTTTTTCAGCATGTGAACAAGAAATGGAGTACAAAATCCAGTCTTAGTCTTTGTTCTCTGCCAAAAATAAATTGTCATGTTCAACTAAAGCCATTGTATGGTTTCAGCTGTCTGCATTAATCAGATCAATTGGGTGTTTCCAGAGTACAGTATTTTTAGTACCAAATTACGTTTTGTATTACCATCTCCCCAATGCAGCTCAGCAAGGAAATACAGCCTGGAGAAATACAACATGTTGTTCTTAAGAGACTAACTTACACATATTTTTGTCTAAATCAGACAGCTAGAACCTCATTTTTATTCAGTTTCAGCCCTCTCTTACATTGTAGTCCACTAGGAATATTTTCATGTCCAGTAAGGAGAAGAAGAATTATGATAATGATCAGTATCTGTTGCTTTACAAGTGAGAGTTTACCGGTAGTATTAAAATTATTAAGGTAAGCATGACAAATATCAGAATTTATCCTCTAATAGCTCCTAGCATGTCCCACTAGACTGTGCTGAAACTTAGATGGACTATTGACTTAGATGTCAATACACTGTGTGGTGTAGCCACTGTACTTAGATGATGCTGACAGATACTTCTTCTTTGCTTTCCTCTCCAGAGCCACATATACTGCTTTTCAGAAGGCCTCTCCCAAAGGATTAAATGGGAACTATCTGTAAAATACCTGCTTTCATCTTTGCTGATTTGTATTGTCTTCAGACCATACATCTCTCCTACATACATCTCTACATTTGTTCTAATGTATTGTGTGGAAATTCCTTAGTTGTATTGTGGTTTTTGTTCTTTCAAACTCCCTCAATTTTTAGAGGTAATGAGAGGCAAATATCTTGATTCCACTGTGAATGATTATAAATGATATGAAGGTGAAAATTTGCCTGTCAACTGTACATTTTTAATGCATTTTTTTTAAATGTCTTTTGATGTAATTTTGTTATGATTGATTTATTTACTGAGCTGTCATACAGGCACAGGATTGTATTTTTCTTAAGCCCATGATTTTCCCATTTTCTGTTCTTTATACTTATGTTTGTGTTATGTACATATATTATTTCTAGATATTATACATTTTGACACTGAGTCATGGTTGATTCAACAAGTTCTTTGTTGCTGAGAGAACAAAAATAAAATGTACTTTCTTCACGTGTTTGCTCATGCATATTTTCCTACCATTACATATTTATGTGTGTCATTTTCTCCAAGTGATTGATGTTTAGTCAGAAACATTGACAACTAGTGGGGTGACAAATTCTGAGTGTCTGATGCCCAGAGAGAAGGCAGGGGCCCGGGCCTTGTCAACTGTCACTTTCTCTGGATTGTACGTTCCAGGGCCAGGTTTCTTGGTGGCATCTCTGGGTAAGCTGTGTCGTCCCAGCATTGAAAATGCAGGTTGTCGGCGTAAATATGTACCTGGGTCTGTACTGTTGTACCTGCAAGGCCCAGGTGTCTTGGCTAAATCCACAGATGGTCCACCTGTGCTGTAACTACCTGATATTGTGTAGCTTGCACTGGCTGGCTTGTTTGGGACTTGAGGGCCCATGAGTGGAGGGAGACAGTACTTGTTAGGAGCCGGTACGGAGTCAGTGCTGCGGTAGTGTGTGCGAGAGCCCATTGTGTAGGATGGAGGTCTGCGCTGTAGGTTGCATGGTGGGGCTTTCTCAGGGCTGTATGCACCTGGTCCAGGTGTTTGGAATAGCTCCTCTAGAGAAGAGAGAACAGTTGAATAATAAAAACTTAACTCAACACCATATGGTAGAGTGCACTCTGGGTTCAGATTTTCAGTTGCAACAGCTGACTGGATCTCAAGAAGTGTCAAAAACAAGTGGTTTTTGTACAAGGGCTCATTCTATAAACTGCTACAGAGCTATGAATGCGACTAATTTAATTTAAAAAAAAAAATTTTTTTTTTTTTAAATTGTCTGTAAAGGAAAATATGCACTAAAATAAATATTTGCTCATAATACAGGAATAGGAACTTACTCTGTGCTTTCATTCTGCCCAACATTGAGTATGCAGGTGTGCCATCCTTTCCAAAGCGAGTGATTTTTGCATCAACATGGTACTGAGGCCCTGGACTGGAGTCAACACAATACACTGGGGAATATAAACATTTATTATAGATTCAATGTCTCCTCTTTCAGTTTGGTTTGATCATGCAATGGCCCCAAATTGCTTGATGAACATAAGGTGAGAAATAACTACAGAATAATGTGGCGTTGTCTCCCCCTATTGGTTCTAATATGACACCACCTTTGATGTACCACTGATTTAGGTGATGTACTTGTGAGATTAAATTATTTTGAAAAGAGATGAAATCATTCTATCGGTTAGCTTTCTGAGCTGTGGCCAAATTTATAGCTTTGACATCAAGGTTCTGACTGAGACAGCAGCAAAGCATTTATTACATTAAGAAAAAATAATAAAGGTTTCTACTGTAGCAAATGTTAAAGTAAGACAAAGGGTGTCTCACTATTGTCACTTATCCTGCCATGGAAAGAATAGGCAGGGCTTGTTGGCTTGGTGAAGTCGTGACCAATAAATCCAATGGTTGGAGGAAGCCCATAGCGACCAGGACCTGGCCCTAGAGACAGGCGGAAATGTCACACACTTATTCACAATCTTACATACACATTATGTTCCATAAATTGCATTTGCTGTGCACAAATGACACAGATTTGCAGTAAGGAAGATTAATTTAATTACGTATACAGCTGTGGTCCTACTGCAGATGCATACACCACAGAAGTGGGGATCTGTGCAAGGAATGTACTTCAGTACCTTTATCAGCTCCAAGTAAGTAAATATCTCTACAAATTTGCACAATTATTACATTTTACATAACCATGAAGAACTACGACCTGTCATTTGACTATTTGATTCATTAGAAGCAAAACTGAGCTGCTTCATCATCAGTCTGCTTTCAGAGACACCTGTCAGCCAATTAGCCTGGAGCTATTAGTAATTAAACGACTGCATCTGATTTTTGTCTGTCCTGCACACTGCATCAAACAAACATCTACCAGAGCAGGAGGGTGCTGCAGGCAGCAGCACACAACATCAAGACACAACCTGGGGAAAAGTATTACATCAGCATTGAAGTGCTCAGTGGCATGTGCACAAGAAGAGCAAGTGGGAGCATTTTTCACAGAATGGAGCGAGTCCTGGCAGGTCTGCACACTGAGAAATCCTCCTCTCTGTTCAGGTGGGTGCTCCCCTTTGAAATTACGAGATACCAAATGACCAAACGTGACCAGCTGGAACACAGGTACTGGTATTCATGTCTTTATACAGGGTATAAAATTTTACAAACATGGATTCAAGCAATCAGAAAAAGTAGCTTTTTGTAAGATTATCCTCCAATGATGAAGTTACCTTTTTCCCTTCCTGCAATTGCTGGATATTTTTTCTCCATTTGACTCTTTGAAGAAGTGATGGATACTTCAGAGATCGCTCATTGGTAGCAATACTATAGAAATACAAAACATGTTAATCATAACAACACAACATTGGCCAAGAAAATAATGATTGACAATTCTAAGATCATGGTTAAAAAAACCAACAAACTTAAAGGTAATCTTTTTTTGCACCTTACCACAGGTAATTCTCCCTTTCAGCCAGAACTGAGGCAGGCTGCATACTTGTAAATTCAAAAAGTCATCACATGAGCGCCCGAGTAGCACCTCACTCCTTAATCCATGACCTCCTTGGTTGTCTTTCTTCAGCTATCACAGTATATCACAGTAGGATCCAGCATCACCCATACCACCCTTAGCTAACACTGACACCCAGAACCCTGGATGATCCAGAATCAATCCTTAATTTCCTCTGAAACAATCAAGAAACCTGAGACCTATAATACACATCAACATGTCAACAGCAGAGCAGACTCTCCACTGGATAGGGTTTTACCTATCTGCCAGTTTGTCCTTTTATCCAAATGCTCCATCTGTGGTGGCTCAGACAGGTGAATGGCCCTTCCTCCACAGAGGTAGATGTATAGGTGCACTCAGCTGCAACTTAGGAACAATGTCATCACTCGGATTCACTCTCATGTAATGCTAGCCCCCCCTGCAAACCATGAAACCAAGATCCCCCTCTCCCGCCTTTCTCTTTTCACTCTTTCTGCTCATTGCAGTGTGGAGACGCAATATCACTCTTCAGCCATGCATGCAGTTGCTACGGAGACTGCTGCGGATAGTTTGCTGCTGCCAGATCCCCTGCACTGCTGGCTCATTGTCCCAACAGGAACAAATTTTTTTCCATTCAGACTGGATGGGTAAATTGTACTGTCCCTGCTCAGAGCTTGGTCACAGGGTAAAGTTTTTGTTAAGTTCCGTAACTTTTACCTCAAATTTGACCTTAAATGAAGACCTACCGACAGTAACAGTTCTTGACACTCACTTCTTTACATTTATGAAAGTAGGAATGCAGAGAGAATTCACGTTAAATTTCCTGCATGCACAGTACTCCCTTGATACTGCATACTGTATACATTTTCTTCCAGGATCAGATGCAGTGCAGCACACCTGGATCAGTTACAGGCTGACTGCCTTCATTCAGCAGGCCCCATTGATCTAGTCATAAACTGCCAACATACAGCTGGAATACACCGCTGGAAATTAAACTAGCAACCCTCTGTTTCCTCATCCTTAAAAAGTCAAACCAATTACCCAGATGCAGCTACAGTTAAGCACTCTTTGATCTCCCCTAATCCCAGTGATAATTTGTAGTTGGGATTTGAAGGACTCATTTAAAACGGTGAGCTGCCAGTTGCCAGAGGCCACAGTAACCGAGAGGGTCGACAAGTGACGTGCAGAAAACAAACATTAAACTTTAACAGGCTCTAACTCTCTTGCGGCTGGTGCTTCGGTAACCCAAATCTAACACAAACACATGATGCACATCCAAGCTTAGACATGTGTTCAGTATGTACAAACTGATACACACACATGTACATGCTTTCTGTCTCTAACACAGTAGCTTGCCAGGGGTCAGAGAGTCAGTTATCAAAGCAGAGGGCCTTCTGAAGCAGCAGCGTTGTAATACAGCTCACTGCTGGCAGGAAATTATCTCCAGACTTAACTAGCCTTTCAAAGGAAATGGAGCAACACAGCCCTCATAAACAACTGCATGGAGCTCCTCTGCAAGTGGGAGCAGTGACGAGTACAGTGCTGCATCTGCAGAGATGGTAGCAGGGGGGAAGGTACTTTGGTAAAGTTACACAAAGTGTAATGGGACAAAAAAACAAAAAAACATAACAAAACAAAGGAAGAGGTGTAGTGGCAAAGTGCAGAAACCAAGGCAAGACATATTACTGGTCAGACACATGAGCAAATCTTGTCTGCTTATTAACTACAGTGTAAATCCGACAAAATCAAAACCCTGGATTGTATACAAATTTTATTCTCGTTTGTTTTAAAAAGCACAATATTTGATATGAATCGGGGCTACATTTACTCAAATTTGGTACATTTACAGGAATTTAAAACTTCATTCTTGATTTTTAAGTTGACTGCTTCACGAATAAAAATTTAACAAAAACACAATAGCTTATGAACTGTACAATCAAATCTCAAGGTAGGTAAGGTGTAAGGTGACTTGAGAGTAGATGATGTTCGTGTCTTGATACAATAGTTTCAGAAACATTTCAGCTGGTGCATCCCGGTGCACCATTGGTCGAAAGACGCATCTCTTGTAACTGTAAAGTCCATGGTTTGAGTCGGCCAGAGGCCTTTGTTGCATGTCAGTCCCCCTCTCTCTCTCCGCAAGTTTCCTGTCAATCTCTACTGTGCTGTCTAATAAAGGCAAAAAGCCCCAAAAAATCTCAAAAATGAAAAACATTTCAGCTTATGTTTCTGTAAAGCATATGGTTAGCATATGTCTTCTTCCAGCAGGATACCAGCACAAGAATTTCAGCAAACGTTTCAATAATTGGGTTAAAGCTTGCTATGAAAGAAAAAAATGCCTTTGATAGCACATACTGTATCTCTTGTTCGAACTGAAAGAACCACAAGGGCAAAAAAAGTAGAATGTATGGGCAGGCAATGACAAAAAAAAAAAAAAGATATGACCTCTAGCTACAAATAAATACCACAGATAGAAAATATAACAAAAATATTTTGCTTAAAGTCAGGTGTAATTACAAACATAAATACTTGATTATTTCTTCTAGTGATTATAAAGGCAGTACAGTGAATAACAAAGATGCTATGGTGCCTATTGGTGACTAGGAGTCTGGAGGAAGAAAAATAAAAGTCTGGAGGACACTATCTTAATAACAAGCATACACAGTCACATCCAACCACACACACACAAACATAAATGCATCCGCTCTATCATTCAAAACAATCTAAAACCTAATAACATACACTCGCACACAAAGTCACACTCTCATTCTCCAGACCCCACCATCTCTTCCTTTCAGGCTGGACAAGTCCCAAGTCTCTCTTCTCTTTCCATTCACTAGCATATTCACAAATAATGTACAATTTGGAGGTGGGTATGGCTTCACTCTGTGAGGGTTTCTGTGGATGACAGGAAAAAGGAACAAACATTCAGGAAAAGATTATCTTGTTAAAACTTCTTTCTCTGAACAGTATAGATCTGTAATTAAAAACCTGCAGAGAGAAAATGGTATTCAGCTGTCCCACACCATCAAACAGCTCTTTCTTCAGGATTACTATGAAGGACCAAATGTCATACCTATGGATAACTGATCCATTAATGTTTTTTAAAAAAAAAAAAAAAAAGTCTACTTCCATGAAAAAAATAAACCCAACAATGAACTGATCCTCTTAAGTATTTCCTGTGTGATCAGCTGATTTTATTCCTCTGTGCCATAGACCTCTACTGTCTTTTCCTAAAGAACTATTAAAAACACACCAATGAGCCACACTGTTGCACTGTGTGACATATTCCTTCTTTGAGGTCAACGTGGGCACAGTAGTTTATTTTGAATCAGTCCCACAATCACTGTCCTAAATGCTAAATAGAGCACCAAAAATGTGTCCATCCACATCTGAAAATAGTCATAGGCAAATCTGGCCATAGATCCTCACATTTATTCCGATCTACATAAGTCCCAGTCTAAAAATCACTGGCATGATGCCAGAAATCCAGTAACGCAGTGAAACAAACACAAACAACAACAAATCTGCTCGTACCATCGTTCAGGGGTGTTTTTTGTGTCCAGTGTGGGTGGCTGGGTATCTGCTGGCAGGAGCACCTTCTGCTCTACATCCTCCCCACCTTCAGGAAGGTCAAAATGGTCCCTTCCCTCTGCATCAGCAAGGAAAGGCTCAGAATCTGGGTCGTATTCATAGGAGTAGTAGGACACCTCTGCCATGGATCCCTGCTCCTCTTCACCTGGAGAGATCCAGTGTGGGGTGACAAATACAAACACATGAAACTGAATGAGGAAAGGTCTGTAGAGATTAGGCCCTGACAGTGTAGCCATTGAAAGGCTGATTACAATATCTGATATGTGATGACAGCCACTTGATCTAGTTGCTGAAGATTAAAGCGTTGGGTGTCAAGGAGACTTAATATCCTGTACATCTTAAGGTCTTCAGCAGCAGTACCCCATCAGTGACAGTAGGGGTCCTTCCATGCTTAAAATGTTGTACAATCCCATAACATGCTACTTCAAAAATCACCCTTTTTGGATTAGGGCATTGCTTTATTAAATATTCATTTTTGATACGTGCTCATTACAAGTCCCCCACAATCAGATTTTGCTTCTTTAAAAGACTGTGGTACACATTAGACTTCATGGTGAGTTCTCACACATAAACCAAAAAGATTATGTAAACGCTTGATTCTTAAAGTGGGAAATTTAAACATGACCAAAAAGCGTGGACAAGATGGGAAAAAAAATCAGCTCAAATAAAGCCTGCAAGTCTGTGTATCCATTATACCATATGTTGTCCTCTGGTACAAGTTCACTAATAAGACAAGTCTGCACATGGAAGCTAATTCCAGAGCTCCAGCTTCCTCCACTGTTCCAGTGGAAACTGTCAGTTCCTTGGCACAACCCACCTTCACCTATTACACTCTCGGTGCACTTAGCGGGCATGTCGTCAACATTGTAATGGTTTACAATGACTGTTTTTACAGTACTTATTCAATCTAATCACCCGTGCGGTTGTCATATTGTAGGTGAGTGTGTGTGAGTCTGTGGGCGTATTTGACTATGTGCGTGTGTATACGTGTGTGCAGATACAAATATATATGCATATACACAGTGGGGTCTCTTGGTCTCCAAACTCCGGTCCATCTCCACTTTCTGAATGTGGTCTCAGACTTTTGAACCCCACTGTACACTTATACACACACATATCTATATATGTGTATGTATGTGTGTGTGTGTGTGTGTGTGTGTGTGTGTGTGTGTGTGTGTGTGTGTGTGTGTGCGTGCGCGCGTGCACATAACAGCATTCCTGTGGTGAGTGTGAAGCATTAGCTTTTGTACTAAGGAGACCTTTTCCCTGAGAGCAGCTTTGTGAGCTGTAGCTACTGGGAGCTGCAGGCTGGAGAACAAGTCAGTGCAGGTTGTGCCACATCACACACAGACACACACTTGTGCACAATTCAGACATTGACATAGGCAGACTTTAATGTTATATATCAGTAATAGC